TAACTCGATTAGGCCCCAAATCATTCGTCAGAGATCGTTGATGATCTACGAGTCTTACAGGTCGAGGTTGTTCTCAAAATAAAAGATATGACATCATTTGCATGCTATCCCTTTATGAAACGTGGGCCTGGAAGATCGTTCTTTTATTGCTTTGAAAATTATTATATTAAGTGTAAAAACACTTACGTTCTGGCACTGAGTTATAGAAGTAAACTCACATCGATGTTAACAGTAGGTTACAGAAGTCACATAATTTTGGTCTTTCATAACAAATATTATGAAAAGATATCGCTTGAAATTATTTTGTTCATTGTTTCATGGCTTTGATTTTCAGTGTTTTACTTCAATAACAGATGGAAATGGAATAACTGCAACTGTTTGCCATCCCTACATCAGGAAATATTTGGTTCCCACTTTGGTATGTCTACATCTGAACACGTTTTTCCCACAACCTGGTATCCATTGGGGAACCGTAGAATGGATTGTTTGTACCAACTTGAGATTCACACGCATACACCTATTGACCGGAGTGGGATTGAACTCGGGATCTTCTGATATCAAAGTGAACTTAACGCCACCCACCTGCTAAATTAAAATTCGACATCCACAATTTTTAGATCAGATCGGTTGGAGACTAATCGGAAAGTTTATAATATTATGTTAGTAAGAAGTTCATCCAGGTACTGGTGTGTACATGATTATTACACATCCAAATCAACTGGATGACTTCAGTAAACCGAATTTTCCTATTTACACATTTTAAAAGACAACCTAAGTAAAGAAATATTCTTCTTTGACTAGTTCATCATAATATCTGCAATCTCAAGATACTCGCAACCTACTAGTATTTGACCACAGATGCCTTAGAAATATTGCTCACATCTGCTGGGATCACCAGGTAAGTAATATTGAGGTTAGACGTAGGGTATTAGGAAAGGATGGCAAATCAGTTGATGTTGTGAATCTTCATTGGCTGAGATGGTTGGGTCATGCGTTACGTATGTCTGAACTCTGACTGCCACGACGAGCAATACTGACTAATGTTGGAGACGGTTGGAGGAATGTTAGGGGCGGCCAAACCAAAACTTGGCATCAGCACTTGAAGTCACTAACTTCTTGTCTGAGCCATGCTGGTAGATGAAGACTATTTGTTTGTGGTCTGTGTGACTATGGTAACCAATGGTTGGAGACTTTGTGTAACATGACTCAGAATCGATCACAATGGCGTCGGTGTATACACTCTCTGTCCTCCCTTAAACTAAGAGATTAAAAACGTTTCATATCTTTCTTTCTGCCAACTAATTCTTTCTTCCTGTACTATATCCTTATGCGCACTCTTTCTTTTATATATTACCATCATTGAATTAATTACTTCTATGAATCCGGTTTTCTACTTCTTGTGCTGATGGGGTGTGGTAACTTGGAGTGATGCACATATGCGCCTGGTTCTACGTTGTAGCTGACTGACTGACAATAATGAGGGTTATTAAGGAGAATTAATGTGGCTTCTGTTTTCTAAAAAAAACCACATCCGGATTGTTTAGTATTTGATACAGTTCTTTATTGTTGTGTCCTCTGTTGAGTAAATGGCCAAGATTAACGGCATTTATTGTCCTAATTTTTTCACCTCTGTATGTAATTTATGGTTTGTATAACTACACTTATCCATTGAATACTTGTCCAACTTCCTAATAAAAAAGGCGAAATCACATCTCATGAAAAAATAGAGGAGCAGTTGGTCAACCAGATAAGCGATATCCATCCCGAGGTAACTTGATATATCTACAAAACGCTGACATCTGTCAGTAACGCAAATCTAAAACTTAGAAACACCAGTGAACTTCTACAGATAGATACTCAGAAATCTATCTCATCTGGCTCTGAACAAGATGAAGAGCTGACGGAGCTTGATCATACGCTGATAAGAAGCCTGCACAACGATCGTGAACAATGTTGGGTAGCGAATACATATGTGGAGAAGACAGCGGCTATAAGTAACAGTAGCAAACCGTTCAGACCTACCAAGGAAATGTGTGTTGAGAATCCGGATGCTAGTGGAACTATCTCGAAAGAGCCGGGACTGTTATCGACTCTCGATCTAGGAGATTGAGCCGATAAGCAGGACAGTTTAGGGAACAGTTCGACTGACCTTGAGCCACACTTCAGTTACTCACTATCTCCAAGCAGTCTGAATGGGAAACTGATTTAGTTCTTTCAACTCTTGGTGAAGTTGAAAAGGACATAAGCAGCCCAAAGCAATAGGACCTGATGAACTAACCCCTGAGATTTTAAAAGGGGTGGTCCAGTTTTAGCAGTTAAATTAGCTGGGATCTTAGCTGAAGTCTAGAAACTGGACGTCAACCCCCATGACTGGTCTCTATCTCTGATCGTCCCTGTATATAAGAAAGAATAAAAACCCTCATGTGATAGCCGCGGGAGAATCAGTTTAACTGATGTAGTGTCTAACATATTAGCCTTAATAGTACTTCAGTGCCTAACTAGGGTTCGTGAAGAGCAAACCCGAGGAAAACAGTCTGGTTTCAGATGTGAATGTGGATGTAAAGACCAAATATTCACCCCCAGTAGGTTCTGGAAGATAGATATAATTTTGGACATCCAACTGCTATTGTATTCCTTGACCTTAAGGTAGCGTCCGACTCCGTTGATCATAGGATTCTGTTGAAATGTCTGTCATTGAATGACGTTTCAAAGAGTTACATTAACTGAGGTGATTGGAATATGTGTTAAAAATGTTAAAAATATACCAAAATGCCTTGTCTAACAATTAAGCTAACGGAAAAATGCACCATGATATTCAGTATGTTTACATGAAAACATGTGACACACCTTTGATCCTAGAGTCTGTTTGGATCTCTACTCCTCTAGGATGATGCGGAACCTTTCAAAAAAGTACCAACAAAGCGTGTGATCGTCCTCCTCGACTGACGACTAAACGGCAGTGATCGAACATGAATAATCCAGAACAACGAAACTCAAAAATGGCCGGATGTCGAATGAATCGCAGTATCACTAACTCTTTTCTTGGCAAAAACAAATTAGCTCGTAGTTATCTTTCTGTCGAATATGTAGTCGAATGCTTTGTTTACTGTATGAAACAAATACCGGAAGATATGTTATTGAACAATATCGTCCAGAAAAGTTAGTGTGTACACTACTATTATGATTTCAGCTGTCTCCAACAGTGTCCTATTACTTATGTGAAGCAGGGATCAGATAGATGCTCGTTTCGGGTGTTTAAGTACTGCAAACGTCTTCGTCCCAGTAATATCATTTGACTTATTCTTGAATGTCCTGCGTACATTTATTGAAGTACTACTGACCGTAACCTTTCTAGGACAACATCACATTCAAAAATAGGAGGGGAATCAGCGACCAAAATGGATAGCCTGGCTGCTGAAATGGATGTTGCCATTAAAAGTTGATCAACGAAGACAACCCATTCTACGTGAGACTGGGTTTTGAGCAGTTGGTTCTCTTTCGTCACCTTATTCATACGGAATGCCTTCGACGATGTTTGTTAATTTAGAACTGGTTTCTAAACCAAACGTAATAACGAAAATTACCTTCCACTTCAGTCCAGCATGATGAACTCCAATTAACCTAGAAAGCATCTGTTTAATAGCTAGTGGGTTTGGTTGGTAGTAGAATTATCCTCAACGTAGTAGTCTGATACCCATATTGACAGATTATGGACGGGATCTCACTACTTCATCTCCACGACAGAACAGACCAGACGCTACAATAATTTTCGAGCCTTTACAGAGGTGTGTTGAAAGAAAATTCCAGTTAGGCATTGAGTTGACTTCACCAGAACACACTTGATGTACTTCTGAACACTCTTGTGATTTACCTTCAGTTAGTCGTCAAAAGTAAGGGGAGTATCGCCCACTGCACTTTGGTGAGGAATGTACTTCAGCGGCCAACTTTTCTTATAAAAGATCTTACTGGGTAAATGTCAGGATCATAGGGGTAGCTTCCATGTCATTTGAATCTGGAGCCATCCATTCTTGTCCAAGAAGAAACCGAACTACTTACTAGAAGACTTGAAAAGACTCAAGTTTTTCAATGCAGTTAGAGTCTCTACTCGCCAGTCGATCAAGAGCATAGTCCATGAGGCAAGAAAGTTCATTTTCAACTGACCACTTGAAAATCATATCATCCACGTAAGCTTCTAGTTCACGTGTACCTATTAATGTCACATTCACTACTTTCTGGGAGCATTAGAGGGAATATGATTGTGAATCATCACGGTTTTCACAAACCCCTTAATTTAAACGTATTATCGCTTTTTGTCGCTCAGTAACGTATATGAAGGGATTACCTGGAGGTAGAATACACAAAACCTACAGAGGACTTCCCTTTGGTGAGTCTACATATTGAGTAAGGGGCCAATATCTTCCCATCTATTCAAAGGAAGGTTCTTATAGCACTGAGGTAGACCACTTTGAGCACCGTCTAACAACTGCACTCAACTACCAACAAACGGTTATCACATGGGATGTAAATTTTCGTACTTGAGAATTATTTCATATTAACTAGGATCGGAGTTCGGTGAAGAAGCCTCTTTCTACTTCCAACCAACAAGGTTTGAAGTTCATAATTATCCTACATGAACTATTTGCACACTTACTAGAAATTGATTCAGAATATATTCACTTTCATTTGTGTTACTATATTAATTTCGCAGTGTGTTATTTAGTCCACTTAAGTAAAACATATTATACGGGTCAATTCGTCTGACTGTAAAACTATCGAGGTTCATCATTTTTGGGTTTTTTGTTTGAAATCACTTTCACAAACACAAAGTAATGCGAACTAAAGATGGACTCTGACCTTGAGTCAGTGGCTTTGTTTACTTTGGCGGCTCGTGGTTTGCTTAAGGCCCCGCTTAAGAACATGGTCCAAGGTTTGCAGCAAGCACCTGCAGTTTGAGAATAAAGGTGATGGCTCGATGCCTAAATTCATACGCTCAAAAAGTCATGCATGAAGAGCATTACGAAGAAGACGTTGATGACGAAGACTTGGATGATGACGATGTTGATGGGTATGAAGGACTCAGTGACTACGATGAAGATGACATACCTGGATCCTCTGGCTACGGAAGCCACAGTTTGGTAATACTGGGAGTGAGGGCAAAAGTGCTGACTTGCGGCGCCAGAGATCTATTAGCGAAGGTGGTGCCGTGTACTGTGTCGAGGCTGGTGAAGACAACAGGCAAGGTTTTTAATGACTTTGTGGTTTCTCCTAAAAATTAACATGTGTTTCTCATCTAAGTTTCAATCTAGGGTGGTTGGACAGGTGGGTACCCGAAAACTTGTCCTGGGAGTTAAATGTGATGTGGTAGGTATTTATGTCTATTAGGTGTAGAGTGGTTTCCGATATTATTCCGAACAAATTACTTTGTTGGTATCTGCTAACAGAATGGTGGTTTTAGATTATATTTGTGCTCATCACAGTGATGTATAAAACCTAAGACAAACCAAGTGTTACGTACCGTCTCTGGTCCCGAACTTTCACTATCGTTTACCTCAAAAGCCATAGACAACTGGTGATTAGTTTGCACTTAAGTACTATCTTAGCTTCACCCCAGTAGATCTCGGTGGTCGAAACTGACGTTCCTTAAACGTACGTTTCAGAGTCGGATATTACATGACTTCTGTTACTATAGAAACCACCTTAGTAACAAAAACAACTGTCGTAAGAATGGGTTTGATGCCATCTAGGTTAAACATCTGAAGAGTGATTTTGGATACCACAAGTCCCAGTGTTCCAACATGTTTATATTTACTTGAGACAAACTTAATCCTACTGAATACATGGTCGACAGACACGTGAACCTTGGATGCCATCAGTTTATATCGCCCCATTTCACATCTAAACAGCAATAATTATCAATGAAGGGAGAAACGTTTGCAACTGATTATAAAACAATGACAAAAATCTAGGTTAAGACGCGAAATAGGATGTAATTTAGTACTGTGATGTGTTAATATAAACACATAAACCGATGTATATATGTGCTAGTCAGTGAATCATTAAAATTAGTCACCATTGATCTCAGTAAAAGTTTGTTCAGCAATGTTCAAAGTACCACTTTGAAGACGATCAGTCATATACATCGCGAGATCTGGGATGAGTATGCATTCTTCACACCAACAAGGTAGAAAAAAACTAGTCGAGAGAAGTAGTATTCCTAGAATGAGAGGCTTAGCACATACCTTTAAATGAGGAGGTAAGATGAATGACAATGTTTTGGTACCGAGCTTGGTGTTAATGGAATACCGCTGCAGAACCAATCTTGTGTTTTTGTATAAGTATTCTAGTAGGAGTGTCGAATGAAGTTACTTTCTGATAACTCACCATAGTTAATTTTACCTCTGTAATTACATGACGGTCTGATCTTGATTTAAACGTATTTATAAGATACTCGTTGATATCTGGCGTGTGTCTAGCGTATTATGGAACGATTAGGAAGATCCTATCATTTTAAAATGAATCGCTGCCATGGCTTGTTCACGTCGTACAGTGTCTCGTAATATATCAGACTTAGCCACAATCTCACAGCGTGCTTGTTGACTGGAGTTTTCTATCTTCATTTTTACCCTACGTATATCGTTAAATTTGTAAAAATGAATTGATCTGTCGTGCTTCAATATATCTGCTATCAAGTCCAGTACAACTAGGATCGAACTCAGTCTGTACTAATGGCTACACTAGATCCTAAATTGCCGTGAAATTAACCGTCCAAGAATGTGTTCTTCTCTTTATGGTCTGCAAACCTCACTATAAAGTACCATTTTCCATATGGTAAATCTATTACACAACTTTTCCTTGGTTTTCAATGTATTATTACCAAGGTTTGTTACTTTTGACGAACCATTCTCAGGTTGATAAATAACATTGCTTGTGTGGTACCTGTCCTTGAGTTTTCAACAATCTTAGATTACCAAATCTACGTTGACTTTCAGACGGGATCATCACAACCAACTTGAACGTAAAAGACGTGCAAGCATCAAAACAAGTTATAATGACCTTCGAGAAGTTATCCCGGGTTTACGAGGATCGAAAGCATCCAGGGCAGTTATACTACAGCGCGCAGTTGAGTGCATCGAAGAGTTGGTCAAATTGAATCGTGACCATACTGTTTGTGTTGAAACGCTGAAACGTCAGAACGACCTGTTGGATTCTCGAGTAAGTCGTGGGACTAATAATTTTTTATGATCACACCAACATTGTGAATCGATTTTTTAGATGTATTGGTAGACGTCAGCAGAACTAACGGTTAGACATTTACGTAGTTTCTACGTTTCCATTAATTTACTAATCAATGTACAGGTATCAACTACCAAGCAATGCAACGAAAACTTCAGTAGAAAACCAACCATATGTCTAAAAGAATGTAACGTGGATTGATTAACGTGGGTACATTCATACTAACTACGGATACATTTGTACATTTTAAGTCCTTCACACAATTTTCATCGTCTGTCACTGGCTTTATGGATCAAACAGATGTCAATTATTACTACAGACAGACACGTGAACCTTGGATGCCCTCAGTTTATATCGCCCCATTTCACATCTAAACAGCAATAATTATCAATGAAGGGAGAAACGTTTGCAACTGATTATAAAACAATGACAAAAATCTAGGTTAAGACGCGAAATAGGATGTAATTTAGTACTGTGATGTGTTAATATAAACACATAAACCGATGCATATATGTGCCTGGACCTACGTTGTAGCTGAATGACAAACACTAAACAATTGCCAGATAAATTTCAAATGAATTTGCACCATTATCGGTTTCGGGCAATTCTATATAGTCTCCAACAATTATTTCTCGTACGTCAACCAGGGAGACACGTCTCAAAGCACACCTCAAAATAAAAATTTATAATCCCGTGGACACGTTATATCTTAATCTTAACTGTTTTCACCTACCGCTAGATGACATATAGTCCAAGGTAGAACTAGACTGAAGGATTTTAGATAGTTTATTTTAACTTACAAGTATAGAAGTCATCTAACATCATATTCAACGTTCAGCATGTATAACGAACGGAAAACAAACATGCCACGTTATTACTTTCACGGCAACTTCCTAATATAAGTAAGCATGTCAGGAGAAATGTTCGAACGCATGCTAATAACGAGTATTACAAATGACTGATGTTTTCAGTTAATTTTCTACATTAGCCATGCTGTTCAAAGTCCAGTCTAGGTTTAATTTACTGTATTTGATATGTTGAGCCAGCTTTCCATTTTCATAGATTAGGGTCTATGTTTATATTTTGCATCGTCTACTTTCCAGGTTCAAGAGCTCCAACGTTTGGTGCAGCGAATGGATGGCGAAGAAGCGTGCAACACTCCAACATCAAGTTCTTTTGCTAACACTATTTCTCCGAATAATAATGTCGCCCTTCGATTAATATCACCAACAGCTTCGGGTGTCCCAATGTATCGCTGTATGTCTCAAGATCCACTCCAGTCATCTACATCAACAGAATGTGTGAGTGTGGTATCTGAACGGTTGTATGAAATAATTCAATTTAAGTCCAATATCTATTTAATTTTATGTGAAAAGGCCTTAGCTACACCGTTAACTTCGGTTAACAGTTCAGATATCTGTTGGTAACCTACATTTCTGTGTAGATAAAATTAACAGCTGTCCTGCCTACGGTATTTGTTTAACGAGATTTAGACTCATCCTTCACATTCAATTCACCACTTGTTTTTGTAGGTATACATGTCGATTCTCCTGATTTCATATTTCATAAATGTCAAGTTCTTGTTAGCGCTAATATACTCCCAGCTATAGATATAGGCCACTTTCCTTTATTCATTCAGCTTAAATATCCACCTCAGTCATCAAACTGGGAAAAAAATTCACTACTGATTTACACACTGCTTCAAGTGTACACGTTTCTTGTTCAAGTACATAATCATAATTATTTAACCTGTTACCACTCATATAGCGTAGGCCACCAACTGGGAGTCTCTAACAAACTCCATCCAGAGCCATTCTTCATAGTCGTTCCAGACTGCTATTCGTTCTTTCGATGTCTGGCTCTAATTCCCGGAGCAATGTGTTTCCTGGTTTTACTGTTTTTTTCGCCTTGAGGATTCCAAGTTAGGGCTTACCTTGTGATGCAGTCTGATGATTCCTACAATGTGTGTCCTATCCAGAGTTTTCCTAATCCCCTCTTCACCTGAAAGCTGATTTTGCTCTCTGCCGCAACCGATTAATGTTGATTTTCGTTGTAGTAGTTCTTCGAGTCCCAGTTCCGTGTAGTGAAGCTGTCTTAACGCTTGTGTTAGAAATTCCAACTTCGGTCTCGGGTGACGGTTATCTTGAGTTCCAGATGTATAGTAGGAATGCTACCCTTGCTTTGGCAATCCGAGCCTTCACATCTGCATCATATGCACCTTGTTTATCAATGGTGCTGAGCAGGTACGTAAATGCTTCCGCCTCTTTCATTGTGACTTGGTTGGTGCTCGCTGTGTCGTGTTTTAGGATCTTGCTTTTCCCCTTGTAAATGTTGAGGCCTACTGATGCAGAGGCTGGTGCCATACTGACTGTCTTCATCTGCATTTGTTGGTGTGTGTGGAATAGAAGATAATATGCGAAGTCCAAATTGTCTAGATGTTCATTGCATTTTGTCCTTCCCCTGTGATGTGGAGATCTTCATAGTCCTGTCAACAACTAGAAGGGAAAGGGCGAAAGTGAGCAACCTTTCCTGACACCAGTCTTGATTTGGAATGCATCTGTCAGGTGTCCTCCATACACAACTTTGCGATTCAGTCCATATGTTTTTGATGATCTTCTCAGGTACATCATCGTTTTAGAGAAGGTTTCACGAGGTTCTCCTATTCAAATTGTCAAACGTCTTCTCATAGGTAAGGGAGTTGATGTATAATGAGAAATTCCACTCACTTGACTACTCAACAATGATCTGTAGCCTCGTATACTGTTACTCTGTAAGAAATCCAGCCCATTGGTCTCGAAGTTAGGCGTCTACGGAGTTTATTTAGTTTAGCAGCATTCTGTCTGGAACTTCCTGGAAATGGTAGTTGTGTATTTTCTTTGATGTTCTCCCACTTGCTTAGATTTTTCTTTGGTATCTTAATTTGGTATCCTTTCCAATCCATTAGTAGTTGTTCCTCCAAAATCATTCTGGAAAAATGTCAGTTTTTTCTGGGAAAATGTCAGTTTTGTAGCTGCCGCTGTATCCGACTTCATCTGGTACTCTGTTTGGTCCTGCTGCTTTACCACTCTTGATCTGTCTAATGGCCATGCTGATTTCTAATTTTAGTGGGGAGACATCTGTCATGATGTTCAGGTCCTTTCCTGGACACTTACGATCGATTGCAGCGTCTCATAAAACTAATCTTTGTCGTCTTCGTTTCTATCATTAGTAAGTGGATATTACTGAACAGTTTTCATCGTAAGCCCCTCCTTTGTTTTGAACACTCCGTTTATGATTTTGGATCCATGAAATTCTTGTCCTGTAAGTGCTTTTCATGCTTCTTTGGACAGCAGTATAAATCCTTGTGTGGGTGAAGCATTTTCAGCAACATCTCTCCTGTGTCTAGCGTTTTTTGTCCAGTTTGGCTCCGATGGGTTTTACTTATTCCGAGAACCGCTTGGTTGTATCTCCTTATTTCTGCAGCTGTTTTACTAGTCTTCCCAGTCTCCTACATTGTTCGGACATTCCATGTGCCTATATTGATTAGTTCTGGTTATCAGAATGGCCATCGACCTCATGAGTTCCGAATAATCTTGGCTTTCACAATGATTCGTTATAACTCTTCTAAACAAAGATTCTTCAGCTCACAGAGTTTAGTTTAAATGAATTTTTCTGATTACCCGTTTTTATCAGGGTTGTTTCTGTGAAATGCTGTTTATCTCATCGCCAAACCTCTATCTTGGCTCGGGACCGGCAGTAATCCTAGAAGAGCTCCAGGTGGAGCTATGTAATCATAATAAGAAGTGGTAAGTCGTGATAGTCATAATAGTACGTCTGACTATCGGCTTTTTTAGATATAGTAGTAATGGCTAAGTTTAGCTTCGGTATTGGATTTAATTACAATCGTTCTTGATTGAGTGTTCTTATACTTTTCTCCCTGAGCATTCATTAGTCATCACTCGTTCGTTTGCTTTATTTTTACCTGATTTATGTTTCTGATATGTTAGTCTGAACTACAAGTGATATTACAATTAGACATCAACCTATGGATTTCCTGTAATTATTGATATATTTACTGTTAGCGGGACATAGACTGGATTAAAGCATGCTCAATGCACGACTGCTTTGCTGCACGCTGATTGGCTAATTCTTATCCAATCAGCGCTAGCCGATAGTTGGAGAATGCTCTAGAATCTTCTCATGTAGAAACTATGAATACACTAACGTTTTCTTCATTGTGCTTCTTACTTCCATCTAACCTGGTTGTTTGAAATATGATCTCTTTCCTGTTCAACCGTGTTCCGATTTGGGGTCTTGTCGAGTGGTTTAGTGTCCAAGAGTACTAAGCAATAGGAATAGCTGGGTCATAACCGAAAGAAAGAGATTATAACATTTACCGTCTTGCGTAAGTCATTTGACTGTAGGCTTAACCACATTGCTCATTCGCTCTCTACATGGCGGTTGCAACAACCCGTCATTATAAACCAAGCTCACATATTGCTTATAGTCATCCAATTTTGGCTCAAATATTACCTAATTTCTGGAATAAGCCTTAACAACTATCTTTTATTGTATTTATGTATTTCTTCATTTCAGCCCGGAACTGCTTCTGGTACAGAATATGTGTCGTCTAGTCATCCATCTGTTCTTCAGTCACAAAAACCTGTTCTGTGCACTATGGCAAATTATTCTCCTTCTGCGCTTGGCCGTGCTAACACAGTAATGCATTTCGTCACTAACACGAGTGCCATAAATTCAATCGGGGGACTGGCGACCGACAGCAACACCACGAGCCTAGTTTCTAGTTCACATTCTGCATTTTCCCCTTCTGTTTCCTCGTCTGATGGATCCAGTACTGGGCCTGCACGATCCCTCTCCCAGCGGTCTAGTCCTGGTGGGTTGTCATCTTCGTCTAATACTTCATCTAACCCGACATCACGGCAATCCTTTAGGACAGATGATGACTACTCAGCAGTTTCGAGGGAAGTAAATTCAACAGGGTCGTTAGAAAATATCCCAACATCCGCGGATGGTACCACACATTCAAACATCAAACCAGTTCGTCAACAGTTGCGTTCATCTTCTAGTCCTTCACGTTCTTCTCCACCACCGATTTTATCGACTGTACCAACTTTGTTACCCGCTTATCGTAAATCAGATTCTCCTATACATTCATCACACTCACTAAACTCAGGAAGTTGCAATTCGCAAGGGAATTTAGGCGGAAAATCGAAGCGTCGCAAATTTAGATGAATTTTTCTCAGTAGTCTTCCTCAAATTCTCAAGTTTATTTTGTTTTTGTTCCACATAAATTCTGGGATGTTTTGTCACATTATATCTCGATGGTTTCTTAGTTTTACCCAGGATTTCTATTTTACCAAACGTCGAAATAATTTCCCCCGTATTCGGGTTTTCAGTTTTCTTTTGTCAATTTTATTGACTAACCGAGTAAATTAGTTTCCACAGATGAACACTCAAGTTATGGGTTATTCATGATACTCTTCTAAATCCACTTGCTGTTTGTCAGTCAGTTTTCACTTAGACTAATTTATGTGTAGTTAATTTATTATGCTTATTTATATATCTAATATATATGCTTGTATATCAGCTTTATTTTTGCTATGCCATCTAAGTTTGGTTTAATAAGCGGTTTTTCATGAAAATTTGTTTTTTCCTTTGAAGCTTACGCTGAAGAGGAATCCAGTGTATTATTTTCCAGTTTCTCACTTTGTTTCTTGATGATATGTTCTAATCATTTCTGCCAAAGAACTAATTATCATAAAGAACTCAATTATGGTTTAAGTGTCTTGTTTCATATTTTATGATGCGTATGTTGTACTTACAAAGACAGTTCCTCAGTTCAGTAAGTTGAAGCTATTTGCCTGTGAGAAATTTTATGTTGCCTCTATACTATGCAAATATTTAAAGATAAACGGTTTAGTCCGGGCATAAACATCTAATGTAAGTTGTGTGTGTGTATACGCGACATTCCTCAAAAGTATAAACCCACAAAATGCATGATCCGGCTTTCTAACTTGATATTTGTAAGATCACAGACTACCCATATTTTGTACCAATTCCTAGGTAGTCGTTTTTCTTCAAGGTATACCGGAAGCATGGCTTAATTTGGAATTTAGAGTCCTGTCCTCATATTAGTTAACCGGGTGTAACATTCACGTTAACAGTTGCAAATCCGTCAGCAATGACCTGGAGAAGTAAACCAAAATAGGTTTTGCACCGCACATCAATAAACCTGCATGCAGAATTGTGAGGTATCTAACTTATCAAGTTATCATAGCTTGTTGATTATCACTAAAAAACCAGCTGACTCATCAAGTACGTTATTTCGTAAATAGGTTGGTGGAGTGGTCTCGTCCATAAGTCAAGATAAGTCTGGCTAGTTTAGAGTTTCAGTACGAGATAGTTTGAGAACTACCAAGTAAAGTACGGTTTTCTGTTTGACAGTTGTACAACAATAGTAAAGAACTACCTTACAGCTGGATCGCTCATCAGCATGTGATCATAACATAACCTGACGAAATTATTTCCATATTAGCTTTTCCAAAAAGTAATGCTTCCTGTACAAAGATGCATTACGTCCCACAAAAGTCTTAGAAATAGGATACCTAAGTGATTTCAAAGGATCGGGTCTTAGCACTTAGTTAACCTGTGTAGCACTACATTAGCCTAATTTTATCCGTTTGTTTATATTCTTGAAAATATCTTAAACGTATATTTATGCCAGTCTAGCAACCATTGGAGACGGAGAGTTACTGCTGGTTGCTTCAGCTTTCGTCTATGGACGTCATCTCAAGCATGTGTCTTCCAGTAGGTATGTCGTTCTCTAGCTCCTTTGATTAATGGTGTAGTGTTAGTTATCTTCCTTAAAAAATAAGTTAATATTACCCAACCACAAAATCTGGGAATATTTTTTAGCATCTCTCGTTAGTGAATATTAGATAGAGCCGTCTACATTGTTGATATCAGTTGTATGGCATGTACTCTCGACTTCTCATTCACTTTTAATTCAAGGGGATGGGCTACGTTGAAAGAGAACGACAAATGAGAGTTGTCAGATTCATGTGTAAACTTCATAGCTTTCTTTTCATGCCAATGATCACGTTCTCTGTAGTAACCAGGCATTCGCGTTTCCCCCACATGGTTCACGTAACAAAAGATCAAATGGATTTTTATGGGTTATCCAGAAAAGAAATTGGTTTGTAACAATGCTACTGTCAGTCATATTCAATGTTTCTAGCAGCAAGAAAAACCATCAACGAAATTCTGGTATCAAAGCTCCCAATTTAGTTTACAAATTAGTATTTCGTATAGCTATCAATTATTATCTGCCCACTAAGAGTTATCACGATAGGCATAGAATGTTTATAGGGTTGTGGCGTTCCAGCTATGTTCGTGTTGAGGAGAATCAGTGTTCAGTTTCTTAGTTATGGTGTCTACACCTAAAAGTTAGTGATAGACTTCAAACATTCGAGTTCTGGATTATATTATTCACAAATATGTATTTGCGCTCAAAATCTGTATTCATTTGTCTCTATTAGTTTGAGTCTACTTCTAGTTATCATAACTTGTGTCAATGCTGTAGTTAATCATTAAGAGGTAGGATCCAAGGTCCTCCATCAATTTCAATATTACAGTATGAGGTCCTTTTCTGATTTATTTAATTTTTCTATGGTTCCTCATCCCATCTAATTATTTAGTTTCATGGTATTTATGAAACCAATGTGAGATTTCGTTCAATGCAACTGGATGGCTTCGGCTATTTTTATATTTTTATTCATCAATTTACTTTTATATCAGTGTTTTGTTAACAGATGCTTCATGACTCAAATATACCAGACCAAGGTTTGTAGAAATAATCCCATTGTCACCTTTCAGGCACATGTTGTTCCGATTTCGATTTTAGAATTTAAATGTTTGATACATTGCTATACACACAAATTCCATGTAGGTAGTTAGCTTTCAGAGCATTTTTCCAGGAAGTTGCTTATTTCACTTTCCTAATACAGTTAGGTGCAGAATAATTAGGGATCCATATTATTGGAGTTATTTCAATTCATAGCTAGTTGGTTGTTATTTCAGACATGCAATAGTACTAAAGAATTAAATAACTTAGTCTTCAAAAAAGAAACTACGACCGAAATACACTATATCTAATAAACCTGATTAGTTTTAAATACACATTTAATAATGATATTACTTACGGTACATTGTATTTAAAGCTAATTAGGTTTGTTAGATATAGTGTATTTTCGGTCGTAGTTTCCTTTTTGAAGACTAAGTTATTTAATTCTTTAGTACCATTGCATGTCGGAAATAACAACCGACTGGTTATGATTTGAAATAATTATATAGATCCGTAACTATTCTGCACATCGTACTACAGTATATGTTAAGAGGACAGTAGAAATATTGCTCTAACCATGGTAGTTATTACTAAATTTCATGGTTTTTCCACTTTGGACGGTATTAGTAGACTTTTAAGGCGATTATATTCTTTCCACATAGATGTGCCTAGAAATATAGTAATTATATATATAATGTGCGATAAACCGGTTTCACAATTTTAAATAAATTAAGAAGGAACGAATTGTGCGAAGAACTTTCTTATCAATTAGTTTTCAACTAATTGAAAATAAAGTTCTCTCAATTCGTCCCTTCTTTATTCACCAGATGTCAAAATGGGAATTTTCTCTATATTTAAATAAATTATTCTACAGTTTTGTAGGCGTTCCTGTAAAAATCTTTCTACGGTTTAAATCCAATTGATGTGGATACGAGTTTCGTCTCGATATCTCTTCTGTAGACGTTACCGCAAAATACATATGCAAACAGATTGTTCAAAAGTGGATTCGGATGTGTTTTCGAATTTCTTCCCGTATTTTTTTATCCGATCAATAGCTAATCAAGAATGTAAGAAGCTGGTTGCAGAACTGTTTATTCCACATTCGATCCCAGCTTCAACTAATTTTGAAGTTCAGCAGGATCGTAGGCAACGACGATTTTCTTTTGAATGTTCAGTTCACGAACCCTTATCGGTTTTCTTCACTCGTCTTATATCTTCCATTAATGGCCAGTATTTGAAAGGAAGGAGTATATCAACCAATAACAGAGTTTATTTAGCTACAAAAGCTAACTTGGTTTGCAAAAGTACAGATGGATCTACTGCTTTAACAGAATTTAGTAATGACAAGACTCTTGAAGATTGTTTTCTATCAGACTCTACTAATAATAATGCTAGTAAACCGTATCAATTATTGTTGCAAATAAACTTTTCCATGCATGACTATCCTGAAAAAAATACCTTGCTTGTTTATGTTGTCCAGAGAAACCCAGCACATATAATCCAATGCCGTTTAAATACAATTCCAATGGTGGGTTGCCCTGTTGTACCGCTTCTCGAAGGAGAAAATATATGTCTGACAAATTCTGAATTTCTATGGTTTGTTGGACAGGTAATCATGTTTCCTATTCGTTCTTTTTTAATTTGATATACAGTAGCTTGACTATGATGCTGTTTCTGTAAATTCGCTAGTGTATTTATGGATATGTGTTATCCTATTGAATGAAATAACCACAACAAAAATCTTATTTCATGTATATTTAGTATTCTTTTCTAATCTCTAGCGAATTTACGACATTTAAACTTCAAAAAATATAGAAACAGTAAATAGTTGGATTTATGAATAACTTTTTGCAAAGTGTATGAAATCTGTTTATTTTGTGAGTTCATTGACTTTTAATACATACACTATCATCAAACATCTTTCATGCTCAATGCAAGTTGGATGATCTTAAGTAATGTATGTGGGTAGGCGCATCCAGCATTAATCTACAAAGTCCTCAGTTTGTAATGTTAACAGTATGTGGAAATGCAGGATTTTACATCCAAGTTCACATGAATTTAGACACTATATCTAATCAATAGTTGCTTATCTAAATGTCTAGTTCTTTTCATGGTTCGTAGCAAACGAGGAATTTACAAGGAGACTATTGTCTACTTTTCAGTGAGCATCGATAGTGATTTTCATCACAATGAATCCAAAAATCCCAGATCTCTCCCAACCTTACCTACATAAATTTGTCTAAATTCGCCTAAACGTGGCACGTGAACTGTCAATATGAAACTAAGTTAGTTTTCTCCTAACTTTAAGCATAAAAGTCAGGCTTAAAATTTGACCGCTTTGGGTTTATTGACAGTCTAATAGAACAGTAAAGTTCGTATCAGTAGCAATCTTCAGTTTCATTCAATCACTTTCTGTATTACGACTCATTCTGTTAATTTTAATGTCTACATCCAATCTTTTCGAATTTTTTTGGTTATTTCGATCATATGTGTGATTGTTTTCCTCTGTAATTCACAGTCTAAAAAATGGCCAGATAAACCGTGTCACAAAGGCTTCTTATTCATACCAACTGAAGATCATGTTGGTTTATCAATTCAGTTGAAAGTTCGTGTACGTGACATTAAAGGTATGGCCGGTATCCCATTCGGAACAAACAAATTTTTTGATCCTTATGGACAACCGATTGAATGCAAATCGCCTGTACTTATAGCTCCTAATCAAGTATTTCATCAACAGAGGTAAGAATGTTAATAATTGGTTTAATTTCATTCGTCATAATAGTTTTGCATAATGAAGTAAAACATTTATAATTAAAAATAAATATGTTCTACATTTCTAGCTTGTTTGTAATACGTTGAATATAGCAATTCAAGGTATACTCTGCCAAGTAACTGCACTTGTTGCAGCCAATGGTGGTAACCACTTTTTCAGAGAAACTTATCGATGGTAATGCATGCACTTTGCAAAGATCAAAATGGAATTTTCTGAGTTCAATAAGAAGTAGCAGGACTGTAAAATGGCCAATACAGTATGCCTCATGTTATATTTTGTCCTAATGATGCTTTCCTAAACGTTGGTTAACGAATGACGTTTGAACCTGTCGCGCCAAAAATGTAGATAGCTAATGATATTGGTTAACACATGGTTTTTGAATTATGCAGGTTATGTATACGTTAGTCAAAGGGATATAGAGCTTTGGGAGCCACAGTGTTAGATTCTTCAAAACAGCAAGAATTGTAGGCTGTAAAAGTCAGGGTATGGCCTTAATAGATGTTAAGCAATCACTTTAGCTATACTCTCGATTCCCTTTTTTTGTATGCAAATTGTAATTACACTGTCGTGTCAGATGGGACGTTTCTCCACTCACTCTCATAACCTCTTACTCTTATTCTCATATTAATTAACAGGTATAAATGGATTGAAAACAATCAATTAGATTCACAACATTTACGTGTTGTAAGTTACAATATTCTGGCCGAAATGTATGCTCGATCTGATTTTGCTCGTGCCCATATATTCAAACATTGCCCAGAGGCTTGTATCAGTTCAGCCTACCGATTACCGTTGATTTTACGTGAACTGTTTTCTTATCAGTCGGATTTTATCTGCCTTCAAGAAGTCGATCGATGGGTTTACGACAAATACCTTCTAAATGCTTTAAGATCCCATCGAAATATGGACGGCATATTCTTAGCCAAAAGAGCAGTCATAACTGATCCGAATGATCCGGCTAAAGTTAAAGTTGACACAGAAAAAGAAAAGGTAGTTGTAGTGTATTTTTTTTCAGTATAAGTTTATTGATAATGAAGTAGTTTAGTGGTTTCTAGTAAATTTGTTATTTTTGAATGCAGTTAATACAAGTGACAATATATAGGTACTTATTGTGCTGTAGTTTAAAAATTTGATAGCGGTAACGTGGTGTTTAACGTTCTCACTTTTCAATCAATAGGCTGAAGGCTTGATTCTCAATTCACTTCCAGTTTAGATTTATGGACCATTACTTAGTCATCATCAACGTAAAGCTTAGAGGTGTGCCGGTTCATGTTTTCATACCGCTAGATATCATACAGTGAGTCCCAATGTCCAAGAACATGAATTTACGTTTGGTACATAAATTACAACTTATCGTCAATACCACCATCAACAGTCGTATTTATGTTTTGTCTTTTGCTGGGTTGATTATCACATGACTAAATCGCCAATTAGAACACCGACTTATTGACCAGACCAATGACGCATGAACCAGTACGAGCAGCCTATAGTCAATTCTGAGTCCTGATTGGTCCTTCTACCTAGCCCTGCCTGTTAAGTCCAGAACACAGCTTCCACTGCATTAATCATGTATTTCAGACATACGCAGTTTATATACGAGCAAATCAGACCGCATCATACAATAAGATAGAAAATAACAACCACACAAGATCAAGCTAAATGTGTCTGTGAGTGTGAGAGACTAACTAATAAACTGGGAATAACTTAGGAATAGTGAATCACGTAATAGTAGTTAATAGCTCAAATGGAAGCTTATAATAAAAGGAATATAAATATATAAAATCTACTTACTTGATAGTTATACAATAAGGATATATATAGTAAAAATCCATAAATAGATCCTAGCAGTTACCATTCACTTATTGTTCGTTCAGATGTAACAATTTATAGTGTCTTCTATCACTGATTAGGGCCTAGTAAACATGACATCGAGGGGGAAGCACAGTTCAATCCTTTTTGAAATTGATTGCCTCATGAAACCTTTAAAGCTCCAATATTCGTGACTCAGTTAAGACTTGAAAATAACTACGTATTTGTTGGGATGTGCATCTAGTTTTGTATGTCGCAAAATGTTAAACCTCTGTTCACTATATTTGAACATACACCGAAAAATTACTGAACTTCTTGGTCATTGAAGAACCTTTAATGCTCTTTTTAGATACTGTCTCATCACCATAAATATCTAGTAGTTCGCTTTTCTTAAAAGTAACTTCATGCAGAAGCTACATAAAATTTATACAAGGAACTACAATCTACAGCGTTTGTTTTAGCAGTTCAACTTAACTTCCGATGTACTATGTTCAAGTGAAATGGATTAGAACTCATGTAGACCTGATAGTTGTGTTTCAAGTTCAACTGTGGTTCCTACTATAATGTGCTAATCGGAAGTGTCTGTTGTGACTTCCGAATTAACTATTTTGGGTAGAACACTCGTCGTTCCGTCAGGCCAGATAAATCGGTTAGAGAGCTGTAAGACTCAAGACAACATTTTAACGTCCGAACGTAAAATCATATTAAGACAGGAGTAATGTGTTTGTCTCAGACAACCAGCATCTACAAATAGATGTAAAAGCACGCCAACTTCAAAGATGTCGCACCTCATCTATTCCCGTCACTGGTGGTAAGGTTTGAAAAGCATGAAGCTGACGCTAAAAATACTCACTAAAAGATTGTGTGTAACTAGACTCATGAATTCTCATTTGGTTTTCATCCTTAGTGGCTAGGGAATTGACTAAATACTCGCAAAGTATATATATATGTACTATTTTTTTTACTTCAAAGGGTGAAGGTTGTGCAATCTTCTATCGTCGTGCTCGGTTTGAACTTGTGTCGAAATGCGGCCTACCATCGATACTTCATTATGCATCAACCGTTCCATTTTTATCAACTATGTTAAACAATTTCAATTCCACAACCTTAAGTTGTAGCTCAACGGGCCATTCATTTAGTGAAGAGAATACCGAAACCCATATTCAAAAGTCATTATCGCAGTGTCTGATCAGTGGGATATTTCGAGAGAAGTCGACCACATCACAATCTTCTTTACTGATTGTTTCTAATGCCCACTTCTATTTTCATCCTTCAGCTAGTCCGATTCGAGTAATTCAAGCGCGTACAGTTCATTACTACTTATCAAAACTTGCTATGGATTACAGACAGTCGGATAAGCAAGTATTTTTTTGTTTATTGGTGTATATAATGTAGACTCTTGATGCTGATTATCACTTGAATATGTAAGGCTTCTTAGGCTGTAAAACTTGTAGCTTTTTTAATAAAAATAATCTTAATCTATCTTACTAGGTCAATCATTCCGTTAATTTTTCTTTATTTTCATGTTCACTTCAGTAAACCAATTCCAATTGTTTTTTGTGGGGATATTAATCAGTGTCCAGGTAGTGATGTGTATACCGCTCTCACTCAATGTGATGGATGCCCATCTGATGAGGAGGTTGCTTATCAGCCTATATTTGAATCAGCTTATGTAAATAATCCACCTGAATTTACTAACTGGGTGCCTGGATTTCACAATGTTTTGGACGTTATACTGTATAATACAGACTCAGATTTAAAATGTATTCATGTGTTGCCGATTGATCCACTGGAGAAAATCCAAGAGTTGTTGATTCAGTTAATCAATGAGAATGGTCAAATTGTGCAAGATTCTAGCGAATTGGGTCTCCCAAACGCCTATTTCCCAAGTGATCATATCGCACTTGTAGCTGATTTTTCATGGGACTCTTTAGAACATACAAGTGAATAGTTCTTCATGTATAACTACAGGAAAGAAAATGAACTTATTAAAAACAATGATAATCGTCATCTTTTTATTAGATAAATCAGTCAATCTAATATAGATCTAGTTTTGATAAATTTGAAGTGATAGACACTTGTTTTTTTAAAGATAAATCTTAAGATTGAGATAACCGTAATGTAAACAATATTTTGTTGTGATGGTTGCTATTTTCTGTGTTTACTTTGGTTTTCTCAAACGTTTCTTCTCAACATAGTGTTGTTTTCGTCCTTATCATCCTGTTCTGGATCATATGTAGATTCTGATTGACATTCTACAGACACCACTTCAAATCTTCCTGTAGAACTGGAAGCTATAAAATAAAAGCATTAAAGTAGTCAAACGATTGTAATTGTGGAATAGATTTTTGTACAGTGTCAATTTAGTAAATAATTACTGGATGAAACAAATATTATCTTTATATTTATACATGTCACATGTATGGTGTTGCGTATTAATCTTTGGTGCGTTGTACGAAAGCAAACCACTTGTTATACAAGAAACAAGTCTCAATAATTTAAAAGCAGATAACACTGTTTATTATAAATATGTTTCGGATCAGAAAGCTGCAACTAGTCGGAACTTCCTGAAAATAATACCGATTTTGAATTGTATGCTATAGATTTTCGTATAGGCTGCTAGTAATTGGAATAATGGTTGGAGTCTCAAAAATTATTTATGTGAACTTCTTAGGGAAAAAAATAACTTGAAAATTATTTACGTACGCCATATAAAGAGGATGAAAGGATAAGTCTTAGGAGGGATTCCGAAAACAAGTCGAAAGCCCCTGATTTCAGTTCACCAAACTAAATTCGTTTTATTAAGCCACCTACTGCAGTCAAACTGTATAAGCGTTGCTTGTAAGCTAGTCCCAAACTGCGTGGTCTAAAATTCAAGACAACACGTTTCGAATATGAAAAACTGAACTAAACCTAGAGAAATTTCAATACTGAAATGGAATAAACTTCATCTTTCATATGACCATTCAGTTTTGCTTCTCAATATAAGGAGTTGTAAAACAACAGTCTGCACTGAGTCGGTCAGCTGTAACCTCCTGAAGAAAACTGTCATTCTATCAACTACTTGTCTAAATAAAGGATGATATTATCAGAATTATAAGCAATGGAAAATAACCCTCCCCCTAATTGGAATATTTTGATAAAAGTTAGAATTATGTTGACTAATAATTTAAAAATCGGATCTGAAATATCCATTACTGATAACAATACTCTCGTTCAATTTTTTAAATACATTGATTATGTATTGGTTAATCTGACTAAAAACGTCTTAGGGATTAGTTTCGTCACTGATGATGATATCATAAAGATAAAACTAGGCTCATTCGACTCAGTTCTATGCTCTCTAATTTAAATAATTATCCGAGAGTCAAAATTCGCTTATATAAGCATACCTGTTCCCTATATTATTCATAATTAATTGATTGTGAAATATATGGAGATGGATTGTTTCTCTTTTTTCCAATCCTTCGTTAGTATCATGTATCACATCTGCTCTTGGAAAAAAATATTAGCGTAACAATAATAAAGCTGTTAAATGTGATTATGTTGAGTCGGCTTTCCGAGAACTGCAATGGAGCCTCCAGAGGCCCTAAAGGAGCCGAAGAGTCCTAGCCAATCAGAGCATGATGGAGCTTTCTAGAATATCAACGTGGCGTGCTACTATTGGCCAGTAGCATAATATGCCTTTTAGCGGATTGGCCAAAATATGATGTTGATTTAACAAATGTTAAGATCTATAAATACCCGTGTTTTTCTGTGCAAAAATGAACCTTTGGAGTAAAGTGCTTTCGCTCAATTTTATGCCTTTTTTCTCGTGTTCTGGTCGCTGCGTAGTTCTAGCTTACGGGTTACCAGTATAGCTTAGGAACCGAATAAAGCGTCCAAATTAGCAAGACTTATCAGATTGTAGTTGCCGAAAAAAGAATAGATTTTTGTATAAAATTTATAAACTTACTTTTCATTTTCGATTCTTTAATTTCATGTATCATTGGACATTTTCGATATTTGCCATTTTCAATTAATGGTGAAAACTGGACGTCATTTGTTTTAAGATTCTATTTCAGTTTTCATGAATAAAAGAGTAAGAAATCTGCTTAGAAAGGTAAAAGTTATGACTAACTGGTTATTCAAGCTACTTTGTTTAAGAAAAATAACGAATAAAAGTTTAATGACCCGCGGGAATATGTTTAACTAATCTGAAATCTATGCTCATATTCTTTTTGAGCTCTAAAACTACAACGGAACTGGATATAATTCACGTTATTGATAAGGATATCACGAAACTTCCTTCCAACCATCTTTACATTTGATGTTTTTCAATTCATGGGGGTACTTGGAAAGTCAGACTAAATATTTATCAGTGCTAAAAACCAAAATGACCGGTAATTATTACAGAAGACTATAGGAAGTGGAAAACTCACCTACCTATCAACTAATGACTTCGTCAACTGATATTAAGGTATAATGTAGTTTAAAAATATTCGGACTTTCGGGTTATAATTTGAATTTGTTAAATCACTTCGAAGTAAAATAACAGGAGCGGCTAAGTTATTTTCATTTTTTTTCGAAGTTATCTATATCAATTCTAATGATTTCACATCAGTTGAAGATGCGATAGCACTTTTAAGACTCGTTGGGTGTAGTTTATTCCAGCAACTAGTTTATTTGTTATCCGATTAACCGATTTAATTTTAGGTTTGCGTAAATATGAATAACATATACCTGGTAAATAGTTTGGGGAAGATAAAATTAAATGAGGACTACAAACAAGTATAGATCATACTAACTAAATTGAGGGTACTTAATACAGTTGAAAAAAGTAACTGATCTCTGTGTTATCTCACTGATATGCACATATAGGTAGTTGGAAACTTACGAATCGGCAAAGAGAAGATGAACCCAGTCATAAATCGCTAGAAAAACAAGGTTCCCGTCAGGTAGTAATTCGGGATTCTAGTCCCTATTGAGCCTGATATTATTAAATTTAAGTGGATGAAACTATCTAGTGAGATATTTTAATAGTAAATTGATTAATAAACTAATAAAAATAGGATATTAATGATTGTTTGGTCTCTTTCAAGCTAAACTGTAACAGTAGTCACAAAATGGAGTTCTGTTGAGAGTTTACCATACAATTTGGTTTATGTATCACACATTCTTGTACGAACTAGCTCAACATCTACGAAGCGATTTGTACACCACAGTTCTTATTTATAATGTTAAATAGTATGTGAATCTTAAAGGGCGTTGAGAATTACGAACATTTCTCCAACCAAATTATCCATTTAAAAAATAATAAAGAATATTTCTGTTATCAGTTGACACAAAATATTACTTTGTTTACCAGTAAAATCAACTTACTTCATTAGCAAAACTTGAGGGTCTAATTTCAGACACTAGCTTTACTCTTGTAACATTGTTATTACTCCTGTTTTCAAGATTATGACATGTGTTACTGTTGATATGTTTATTGACAAACGTAGGACGACTGGTAATGTTAATAGTTTTATTAATATTTGTAGTGCTATTAATATTATTGCTAACTGCTTCATCTTGGGACACCATAGACTTTTTATCGGGATAACAAAATGTATGGCGCTTTTTTACTCGTTTCACGGCGTTTCTCGATGATAATTCGTCGGATTTCTCCATAAATCTCTTCTGAATAAGTGAGATAAAAAGTAAAACAGGTACAAAGAGAATCATATATGAATTGAATAAATTAGTATTTACACGATATGTGAATAAACGGGATCTATTTTTTATACACAATTATGATGATAATGTCACGGTCGCGAAAATATAAAAACTATTGATTACGAAACACAATCAAGTGACCAATTTATAAGAATAATAAAGAAATCCATACCTCATACTGAATTAAACGATTTGTTCAATTCCTAGACAGCCTTGAAATAAACAGTGATATCATCACTAGGCCGAATTTAATAAAATTAACTTATTCTCATATCGACTAAAAGTAATTCACAGATTTTAGAACACAGAATTCTAAAACTGAATTACAGTAAAAATAGTTAACATTTGTCATGGAAAATAGTTCTCAAATACAAAAACACGGAACATGTTTGTTTTGCTTCTCTCCTTATATAAATGACTAATTAAGCTACGAGTGAAAATGTATAGCTACGCTTGATTATCTGTTTCGGAAAGTGATGATTTAGGAGGAGAAGCATGGTCAGCATGTAAGGACGTAGCGGGTAAATACATGAAGTCTCATACAAACTCAATGCATTCCCAAGAACTCTCATAATTAAGCCATTGAATAGTTTAGTTGACCTTTTATTTTTATATATAAATGTTCTTAACAAGAATATGTGTGATCAGATTGTTCGAAATGTATTGTGCTAATATATCACATAGTTCTGATAATCTTCGTCTTCTTATAACACTATCAAAATTTATCAAAGCGACTAGTTACTTTAACTTGCAAAGTATCCCAATATACAAGAACATCATATGCACAAACAACTTTAAAACTTACCAAGAAGCTGTTATCACCTTGGGTTGTTTCTGCAGTAATAGTCTGTAGATAGGGATCTTTTTTGAGATCCTAAAATATAATAAAAGAGATACTTTAAGGTTAGTCATACGAAGAATTGACTGCAAAAAATATGATACATAGACATACGAAAGTGGTCAGACTTGAAAGAATTAATTAGAAACACAACCGAATATTTTATAGATATAACCCGTGTCACCAAGTGTTGGAGTGTAGTATGTCATAATCACCTATCGGTTGTATCTGACATATTGGCTGTCATCATACTGCTTAGATTTTTCAAGACATATATATCGTTGACTCATGAGGATCGGAATGGTTATCGTCCAGGCTATGATAATAACTTCCTTCTCTATCAAATGCTTGAACAAACATGTACTGTAAGTCAACAATAATAGTAATTCTGCCCATTTCGATTATTTGAACAGGACTGTGCTCTGAAATTGTTTGTTTGAGAGGGATGTGCCTGAGACGCTTGCCAACATCTTGAAAACACCATGCTGGGTAAGAGTATACAAACACTACTGTCTGTTACTCCGAACTATTAACGGAGTAACCTAGGATATGTTTTTTCCGTTTTCCCCCCTGAAGCTTTGCAAGTGCTGACTTTCCCAAGACATGTGAAGGAAGTAAGCAGTGACAATGAGGATCTACTATGCAAAATTAAATTACTCTCCTGTCTATACGAACCATTTCATTTTATTGGACTCGATCCAAATATCACCTAATCAGCCACCGATAAACGTTGGTAAGCATATTGTACCCTCAATGCCATTGTAGTATGCAGTACTTATAAAACACAAGAAGCCTTTGGTTGTCAATATTTAAAGACGGTCTAGAATTTCACATAAATTGTTGTATGACATTAGTGTTATGTCAGATAATATCTATCTTCGTATAGATAAATTCAGAGTAATATCTCTGCGTTTTTCACCATAGTTCGAGTCTAAACTAAAGCAGTCCTCCTTTGTGTTTCTGATGCCTAATTGACTTGAGCTAAAGATGTTTAAAAATCTTATGTTCGATAGTGTTCTTTATACAATTATTATTATGCTTACAAGTGTGTCTAGTAGAGAGATCCAGCAACATAGTATGCTTCCATTAGTACCTATCTTTATTCAAAGTTAATTTCTAAATGTTACGATATTCCTCATCTTAATCAGTTGTGAACTTTGATCGACAACAAGTAATGATTTCAGAATGCTAACTGGAGTAGCCGTAAAATTACTCACAATGGCGGCATGTTCACATTTACGTCTCATGTGCAGTCAAGACTCTCATTTCGAATTAAGATACCAAATCTTCCATAATTTCAATAATTGAGATCATTAGTTAATTGAAGCTACTCCACCATGGAAAACCTGGAAGCACTGGACGGTCGCTTCGTCCTATCGTGGGACTCCTCAGAAGTGCGCATCCACGACCCCGCTTCCAGGTTCTCCATGGTGGTCTAGCTTCAATTGACTTACGATCTCAACCATTGACATTACTAAAATATCCACAAAAATCCCTTCTGATACAAATCTTCCATAATCATGTGTTAAAATGAACTAATTCAAGTTTTATGAAGTGACTGTTTTTAGCTTTTTGTAACCCACACTTCAAATTTTTATACAATTACCTACAATTATTAAGAAAAAAAAACAGTTAGCTAATAACTAGGAAATACACGAACGTAAAAACTAAAATCAGTTTATTCTATGTTAACCTGACTAGCTCGTTACTTAAACTGTCATTAATTGATTTTGACAGAATTGGTCTATATAAACGCATAATACCGCAGACATTTTGACCGAAGTTAGAAAAACACCCAATAAATATAATAACTATTTATTACTATCACTGCGGTATGCAATCGAGGAAACATTTATGGTTGATTTCATAAATCCTGAATCCCATCAACCATACAGAAATCTGCAGACGCAAAATATGTCTAATTACATCTTTTTTAGTGGTGGGAGAAATTCATCTTTTATCACCTTCAATAAACATGAAACTTAAGTCCAGAAGCTACATGATGGTACCCCATCTAACCATTTGAAATCATACTTATAAAGAAATTGCAAACTCAAAAGTTTATGGATGAACAAATTATTTTTGAATTCTTTAAACATGTTTTGATGACTCATATGTTTATCTGCCTCAACCAACATATACAAATTATTTTCACTGTTGAATTTACGAGTCGATCTAAGCTAGACCACCATAGAAAACCTGGAAGCACTGGAAGGCCATTTCGTCTTAGTATGGGACTCCTCAGCAGTGTGCATCCACGATCCCGCTTCCCGGTTTTCAATGGTGGTCTAGCTTAGATCTACTCGTGAATTGAAGTGTGAAAATACTACAACCTCCACTAATCCCCATACTGATAAACAATGTAAATCAAACCCACTAACACAGCTCTTAAATGTTCACTGAAATCTTTATACAAAATAAACTCACCTTCATAATTGTATGAAAGTCATTGGCAATCTGATCGGCATCTTCAATATCCAAATTTGTTAGCTCATCATCATGTGTATTAATTTTATTTAAACGTAAATATTCATTATATGCATAAGTGGCTAAACCGGCTGCATCAAATTTATGCAGACATTTGTAATTTTCACGAACCTCCTATCGTGAACAATGGATTAATTGAAGCAGGTGTATGCGTTGAAAAGAAAAGAGGTACGATAAAATAGATGATGAATAAATTGTGTCTTACATATGGTCAGTTTATCGATCAAATTAAATAGTTTTATTCTAGATAATGGTCATATACGTACACATTTATGCTTCAATAAAATAAAGTTTATCTTTCTATCCCAAACATGTTTTTATAGGATCTGATTATTTATTACTTATTTTCTTCATATATGTGTGCACAATAGAAAGCGGATTGATGAATATGTTCTGGTTCAACGATTTTTGATTTTATCAATTGTCGATATTTGTTTATTAAACATTAGTAGAAAAACCTGAAAATGGTAAACAATGGTTTCAAATCAGTTCAGCAAAAACTTTTCTCTTTCTTAATTACTTTAAATCACATTAAAAGACTCGAACTGATGTACGTACGTATGAAGTTCTACGTTGTTACTGACTGACTGACTGACTGACTGACTTTAAATCACATTAATTGTTATTCTTATAGTCTGTCACAGATTTTGTAAAACAGTGAATAGCGATGAAGTATTTCAGTTGATTACCACCCCCATCAAATGATGCCAGTACTAATGATAAGACTTTAAATGCATATAATTTGTTGACGAACAATCTATTTTTATAGTTGATCAATTACAATCGAATGTGTACCTAGTAGATTATGACGTCTAGGGTTGGTTAACAAACTCAGTTATATAAAAATATACGGGAAAATAAAGTATAAAAAATGTTCCAGCATATTAGTAGATTCCTTTAATACAAAAGTTATTGATTAGAAAGATGAGTCATGAAATCAAGGGTTGTGAGTAAACTGTCTAGTCCTCTTACTGTCCAGTCAATATCTGTGTAAATGACAACTTATCTTCAAATTCTATTTTACATGCACATACCCAAACAAAACTGATCCAAATTCATTCCTGCATATTGAGATGATAAACCTATGCTGGTAATGATGTAAATATCACACCCTTTGACCAAGTTAGTGGGAACCTAGACTCATTAGCTTAGTAGATAAAGAGTGAACGTTAGGTTCTAATCTCTATATGACCATCAATACTGAGATGTAAGCAGATCCAGATGACGAGTCTCAACTAGCACAAAATGTATGTTATTGATTTCACTGCTAATCAGTCATACTCCATTTTTTTACAAACCATATTTTGGATTTCTCATCGCTAACGGCATAGAAACACACATAATTCTATTAATGAACAGAGGGTATTCTGAGATCTCTTGACAAATATCTGTGATTATTTTCGTCTTTAACTTGTCTGTAAAATGTAAAAGGATTGCTGAATCAATACCATATGTTATCACTGATATTGTAGTGAACGAGAACACAGGTGGGGACAGCAAATGTATTTTAATACTAAATTATAGAGTTCTTTTGTCAAATATGAAAACCATACGTTCTATACTTCATTTGCAGACCCTCCATCAATTGTCACAAACTTCATCGTACCTTCATTGCCATAACGGTTACTCTCTGTTCCCGTTCTCTTCTCTTTGATCATCCCGACATTCTACTACCAAGCCTTCCATTTCTGATTGGTGTTATATACTACTTATGTCTGTCGACATAAGTAACAAACAATAAACGAACATGAACATGAATTTGACTGAGAAACATACAGACTTGAGATCAAAGAGATTTCAAAAATGACAAAGAATTTCTAGAAGAATGCAATTCAGATCAATAGCCAGTTAATAGACTCGATCTATCAATCCATATGCAAAACGTCAATTATTCAAACATAACAATCAACGTAGGACACAATGACAAATAAAGACAAGGAAACCTACGAAAGCAACCACCAGGACGAACCGATTTAATACTTGAAAAATAACTAATAACCTCATTTCTACATGAAGTAGGCGATGATGTTGTCGTCCAGAACGACAATTAAAGCTCCACCACTAAACTATCCAGCTCAGAGAACCTAAAAACACTAAAATTTTATTGATTGTGATGTTAGGCAAGTTAGGGGATATTTAAATCAAAGTTGAGTATCATCAAAACCTAGCGGATTATTAGTTACAAGACAACCAGAAAAAGTCAAAATCTTAAAGCTCGACCCACATTTCAGAAAAATGGATATTTTTGAATATAATGTTAATTTTATATATATGTATGTAACAGCTGACTAGTTCAATTAATTTAATTTTTTAGTATACAATGAACTGTTTAAAGTCATCTATGTTGGGAGTCATAAAATCAATACTAGTGAGAACACTTTAGCAACTTCATTTTCATTCACGCACATAAAGGAAAAGTAAAGAGTTTTCTATTTATTGAAGAACCTTGGTTAGCGATTATCAAATGGGTATAACGTATAGTACACAGAATTACAAAAGCTTAAAACCAAGTAAAGGTATACAGTTACATTTATGGGTTGGAGTAAAGAAAACCTCAGGATGGATGTGAAGTGATGTCTTGTCTTTTGTCAAGCTACGTTAATTCAGTGGGTGTGTTTTATTTTATAACCATAAAAAGTGACTTTTGAAAGTGGTAAATTAGTAATAAATCAGTTTGTGCCCCGTTATTCCAATCAACCAAAAGGAAAGTCCTCACCAATTTCTACTATAATTTAATTTACAAATCAAAAAGTTATAGGTAGCATAGGGGATTTATGGAGATCGGTGAATTTTCAGTTTAAATCATGTACTGATCTTAGTTAAACAATCATTAAAATATAAAGGTCGGAGATCCGGGGTTCAATCCCTTGTGGGGTGGATGCCAGCTACTGAGGAGTCCTACACTAGGACATAATTATTGTCATCTAGAAGTAAGGTTTGAGTCATTCTTAACAAATTGAATCCGATCCAATATTATCTGTTTACTCCATCTTGTCTTACGATCCGAAATAATTTTAGATATGCATTACATCACTAACTATTGATTGATTCACTGACTTTCAACCAATACACGCATCATTTATTCAATTAATCAAAACACACATTTCGTCCCATCACTTACTGAACACAAATAATTTGTGCATCATTCTCATTTACAAAGTGATTCATTCGAATTGGTAATAACTAGTAGTTACCTGTAGTTTCCTAAATGATTGCTATTTTATCAAATTCTGGTGCACACACACATTGTCTATATGAATTTTTAGAAAAAGAATAAATCAAATGTAAAGACAGGTTGAAAGTCGCATGTGGCCTTGAACCCTAAAAATTAAAAGAATATTATTTTAGATTATTTTCTGACAGTTTTACTTGCTCGTAAGTCTTTTTGATAAAATCTCCGAGTGATTTCATTTGTAAACGAAAGTGGGACCAGATTTTTGATCTACAGAAAAAAAAAAGAATTCATTGGAATATTTCTGATAGTCGCTGTTGCTGAATAACGTATCAATCTCTTCAATCAGTACCAATGAACAATCAAAATTACGATAGTTGGAGAGATATTATTTTATTGTGAATATGTATCATTGGGTAATTAGACTAATGGAATGTGAACTCCTAATATTAAGTATTTATCACTTGCTCACTTGGTTTCTGGTTAGCGTGCGGCTTCATTGGAGTCCATTAAATCAGATCAGATTTCCGAATACCTCTGAATTTAATATTGGTTCGTTCAAAAGGTATTTTTTCGCTGAGAGTGAACTCTTTCTGTGCTGGCCTTTAGGAGCTCTGGTTGTTTAAATGCACTCTACACATTTGCCCAGATTGAGGAGAAAGATTGTTAGATTAGCACTACATAAATTCCCTATCATTCAGTGAAGAATAAGGTTCATTGAATAGTTATTGCTTAGTTGTTCTAATTTAGGCACTCATCAGCAGTAATCATGTGGGTATTTCCAAACATTCATCCAGTGACTAATCTTCTGAAAACCCTGTTCTAGGTCTCAATACTGAGTTCAGTATCCTGGAACCCATTAGGTTTAATCACCTAATGACGATATATGCAAATAAGTTTATTTAACCAGTGAGAATATCAGTCATTGTAGTTGTATGACCCGAGAATGATAATTTGCTATCCATAAAGCTTTTTGGTTCAGTCTCATGCTGACAGGGAATGTTAAGTGAACAATGATAGTTCAACACCGACCTGTCCTACTAAAGATAGGATTCCTTTTAACTGTTACATATCCCAACAAAAAATAATTGTTTTTAAAAGGATATTCTTCTTCATCTGTACTCTGACTGAGTAAGTGACCGACCTTACCTTATTCACCGTATATCCAGTAACTAGAATTAACATGATGTTCATTGTTACAAGACAAAAGCTTGATAAACCAACGTAAAGGAATTCCAAAGGAGCATTACAATGATTTCGCATATAGATAAATTCGTATTGTCGAATCCATGGATATGTACAATAATGCAATGTGGCTGTAACATTCGACTCCACATCTGTTGTTGTTTCATACTAAAAAAACGAAGAAAAAAATTATCATTGTCCTCGAAACAGTGGACAGCTTGACTCATTTATAAACATTTACTCTAGAAACAAAACCATTTATTAACAGAACAAACTCATCAGGTAAAACGATTTCAAAAGTATATGTATATCGTAAGGGTATATGTGTATATAAGTCGATTGACAGTTTTATTTTAAAAGACAAACATTTAATCACATGTATTCACATAGTCCCACTTACAGTAATTATCGACGAAATCAAGTCTAAATATTTCAAACCAAATGAGATCTGTTGTTTACACACACTAGGATTATTGTTAGCCGATTAAGCAATCAAAATTGGAAGTTTATACACAAATAGTTGTAGACAACTAATTTGTTGTTGGTAGTGTCAGAGACTCAGTACTATTTATTTACACACACACTAATAATCTTTTATTGTTAATGTTTACATGATGTAATCTAGTATTGTAATCTTTCTATTACATCATCATGTTTCTTCTTTGTTCGTACGTCCTCACGGAACTGATACTTGAGAAAAATCTTCATATATACTTTTGTACAGCTTGATAATAAATTCATTGAAAAGAGATCCCTTCCCTGAACTTCGTATTTTTAATATCTAAATGGGAATTGCATGACTATTTCTAGTCTTTGTTGTTTCATTATAACTTAATACTTTCATAATAGGCAACTGATTTGAATTATAAAAAAAAAGAACAAATCAGCAAAATAGATTTATTATTATTATTATTATTATTATTATTATTATTATTATTATTATTATTAATGGCTTTATTCAATATTATAGTTTTGGTACAATATAGAATTCTCAGCACAGGTTATTTCAACAAGTTACTTACGCAACAACAAAAAAAAACAGTAACGAATACAAAAAAAATAGAAATGTTTTTTTTAAAAAAACAACCGAAAAACTGTACAACTTTTAAAATTAAGGACATGTTAAGAATGCAAGTTATTGACTAGGTTACCTATAACAACCTGTTCGTCACAGAGTATATTTGCTAGGTAAGGTATTATAGAACTTTTATACTTTTGCTTGCGTGCATGGATTTTACCAGAAGATATACAAGGAGAAAGATAAGAGTGAAGGGGATGGCTAGTATCTGATAAAATAACACCTGCCAGGAGTTTGCATGATTTTAAATGTCTATCCACAACCATATTAATTATGACCTCGAAAGATTCACCACACACCTTGCTAACTGCCTTCAGCACTCTCCGCAATACAGCAAAGTCTTTTCTCAAAAGCCCGGGAAAGAATAATGGAGAACAGTAAAGAATAATAGGTAATATGCAAGAATTGACAAATTGTAAGAGTAAATGACGAGTAATTCCAAGAGCATGCAATCTCTTTATGTAGTAGGTCAGACGGAAAACCTTCTTTGATAACAATAAAACGTGGGAAGACCAAGACAGATCAGAGGAAAAGGTGACACCAAGATAATTGACCTTCGACACTGTGTTTATCAAAGAGTCTCCGATGGTACAAGCATTATGGGATCTCAAAATGGTGTTTAGATTCCGTTCATGTCTCATGCTAAAGTTAACAGCTTGACATTTAGACGGATTAAGTATGAGACCATTACCAACAGACCAACAATCAATACGAGACAAAAACTCATTCATTTCTATGGGATGTAAAGAGGAAGAGATAGGCATACATACAGTGAGATCATCCGCATATTTCAAAAAAGTGTTTTCTGTGGAAGATGGCAGATCATGCAGAAAAAAAGAGAAGAGGTGAAAGAACAGCTCCTTGTGGTACACCTTCATGAGACAGTAGAGACTCTGAACACTTTCCTCCAAACACAGTGTACTGTTCCCTTCCAGAGAGGTAGGAACATAGCCAGTTGGTTATCCAGCTGTCAGTGTTGACGCTGATTAACTTGTTAAGTAAACGTTGTCTTGGTATAGAGTCAAAAGCTGAAGTATAGTCCAGAAAAGCACATCGAACATACTTCTTACCCTTTTCTAAGTTGAACACTATGTTGTGATGCAGAACTGCAACAGCATCTAAAGTGCTTCTTTTGCGCCTGTATGCAAACTGATATGGATCAGTATGCTCTTTTATCGCAGGCTGAAGTGGAAGTATTAATAATTTTTCCATGGTTTTGAGGAAGGGTGAAGTTATTGCAATAGGTCTAAATTTTACATTCTTATCACCAGATGCTTTCTTGGGTACAGGAATTATCTTCATCTTTCTCCACATTTTCGGTATGAGATTAGATGAGAAGGATCTGTTAAAGATAATTGTGAACGGATAACATAGGACGTCAGCACACTTTTTAAAAAGGATGTTTGGGATACCATCAGGTCCCAAACATCGAGATGAATTAAGCGACTGGAGACATCCTCGTACATCAGTTTCAGTGAAAGTAGGAACACAGCTATTTTTAAACCCGTGGATAGAGGGAGCATCACATCAGATGACTGACGTACAAAAGACTTATTTAAGTCACAAACATTCAGCTGGTTATCGCTTCTAAACTTTCTGTCACCTGTAAGTTCTTTAAAGAATTTCCACATACTTGGAGAGTTTTTGCAAGATAAGAGTTTTTGAGTAAACATACAGTTGAGACGTCTAATCTCTAGGTTTATCAGACCATTTAGCTTACGAACTTCATTAGAGTTCTTCTCCTTGTACATTCTTTCTTTCATCCTCCGTAGTCGTTTTAGTTGTGAAGATGTAAGTCGATCAAAACTTACAAAAATGGTTTCAGTGGGACAACAAATATCAAAACAGAATTTAAGGTAACAAGTGATAACATCAGTAGTGTTTTCGAGTGAGTCATCTGTAAATAATTCCCAGTTAGTCGTATGAAACATGTTTTTCAGATTTCGGATATTTTCTTCTGAGTAATTCCTATATTTGACTTTCTTGGTTTGATGTAAGAGTGTACTCTTCCCATGCTTTCCATATACTTTAGGTAGAACACGAATTATACAGTGATCTGAGCTAGACAATGGAGCACGTTTACGAGTCGCATATATACCCACATCATTAATGAAAACGAAGTCTAAATGAGCATCCAAACGAGTAGGAAAATCTACTACGTTTTGGTGACCTAGTGACGTAAGGAAGCTACAGTCACATGAATTGAAATCACCACATACAACTGAAAGTGAATCACTGAAGGCAGTAACAGCGAACTCAGTGAATTCATCAGCGAAAACAGATAGTGCAGATGATGTGCAATCTGGAGTCACGTAGATATTGGTAACATAAACATATTTGTATTTATTCAGATGTTTTGGACGACATCTTAGAGTTAGACAGTCGATAAAGTCATTTGAAAACTTAAAACACACAAACGAAGATCGACACCAGTTTATGTTTACAAACGTAGCTACACCGCCACCACACCTCTTTTTATTGTTCGATCGATCCTGACGATAAATTTTGAAATCACGTAGTGATACAAGGCAGTCATCCTGTAAATCATTCAACCAAGATTCTTGAATTGTGATGACACCACAATTACGATACGTATTTTGACTTAGTAGGAATTGCAGATAGTCCACTTTGTTGATTAGTGATCGGCAGTTAGAATTTAGCAGCTCGGGAATCGACATACGATTAATGTTCATTCTCTTTAACGCATATTGCCAACCACCACGATGTCTTTTATAGTACTTTTTTGTAACTTGTGCAGCGAAAGGTCGTAGGCTTTTCATAAAAGCGCCTGAATAGGTTATGCGATTAATGGACATAATTATAAGTTAAAACAAACGAAAAAACAGATAACTTGTTGAAATAATCAGATGGCAGAAACAGGTAGCCCAGATATTCAAGCACACCACCCAGATTTACTGTTTCGCAAAAATTATTTGTATACTGGTAACCATCAGAACATATACATAAAAGTACATGAAGATTAATCCATAAAAAATTTGAACATTTATTTGGTTATTTTAATTTGTCATATAAATGTTAAAATGTTATCAATAGTTATATTTATTATCGTCGAACAGTTATTCATTACAATTGTGCTATTATTATTCTATAGTTTATGCAACTGAAAATGACTGATCAGTGTAAAGTGGATATAAATTCCTAAATATAGGACACGAAACTATATATATATATATATATATATATAGTCAAAAAAGGGAACAATTACCTCACGTTTCTCTCCAGTGGAGATGGCCAGAAGAGAGAGTAATAACAAATGACCCTAAAAAAACAATGTAATAGAAACAATGACGTAATAAGGAGCTTCATCGAGAAAATTCCGAAGGGATGCTAATGATAGTAATGAAAAAAAGTACGCTATTCAAAGTAGCATTTTATTTATCACTATCTGAACTTAATGATTATTAGTCGGAATTAAAAGGAACTTTGAACTATGACCAGATTTGGATTGGAGGCTAGAGTAGGATTATCAGTTCATTTTATTGTAAAATAATTAAAAATGGAAACAAATTGTAAATAAGACGGGACAAACTGCTAGTCATATGTGGAGAAATTCGGATACTTCACTCCTGTCTGAAGTTTCTACTGATTTTATTGAGAAGAACAATGAAAGCTTCACGACTAAACCATCCAGCTCAGAAAACGAAACTCCACCAAAATCATCCACCTGAGCTACAATCCTTCTCTACCATCCCAAGTTTAAGTTTTACTGAGTATTAAGATTACTGGTTAATTCTTTGAATATTTAATGCTAATAGCAATAATAATATTGATGGTGATAATAATGGTCTAGAAACAACAGATCGACTTACGCAGTTAACTGCTGGCGGTAACAATGAAAGTGATATTGCATTCCCAATTAAAGCTGATAGTCGCTTACTTAGTATAGCGAAAGAAACACTAACACCAGAAAATGCTGCTACAAGCATTGATCCAATAAAAGATCGTAGTTCACCCCTAAAATAATAAAAAAATAAGAGCGAATGAAATTACCTTACTGTAAAATAAGGACATTTCTAACAAGGACTTATTTCACTGGATTTAAATATGTCTATGAAATTTAAATAACAGTTCATAAATAGATCCTAGCGGTAACTACTCACTTATTCCTCGTTTGGATATAAAAGTTATGTTTCCTATTTGTCGGACAGCTCAAAACACCTTACTTTTTTAATTTAACCAAACACTGATCAAAAGTTATCACATACAAATAAAAGTAACCGAGGTATAAAAAACATAAAACAGTGGTTAGAAAGCAACATATAATTTTGGGCAAGGAGTTTAATATACCAAGTATATTAAATCAATCATCACAGAATACCAACTAAGGACAAACTTTACTACAAAATGACTGTAACCTGACTACTAAATTCATCTCTAATCGTAATTATCAACTGGCATTACCTTGTTCTTGATTTAGTTCGAGAAGAAATGTTCTACTGGTGAATTCCACACAAAAACTGACGCAATAATTTACCAGCTCAAGTTTTAAGTAGTTCAAACAGCGAGTATAATGAGTACTTACAAAATTAAAATGATCACGAAAATAACTAAAAGAGATGATGGATGTATACAAATTAGGGGGATAAAAATATTGTTCATGTTTGGGAGCAAGAAGCAGTGAATAAATATGTAATTTATAGACAAATTTTAAATGACACCACTTTAAATCAATAACATCCATTGTTTACTATTTTATAGATCATCAGTCAGTAAAATAATATAATTCTTAGTATTGGCCGAAACAACAGTTAATCGATCAACTAACTGATGTCACATGCCATTCCAACTAATATGACGTGACACGTGTAAACATGCACCTAGGTGCCTTGATCATTATACGCTTGGCACAAATGAAACAATTATATATGTTATAATCGCTTATTAGTGAATAACAGCAGAACAATTCTGGGAAAAATATGAGTAAACCAGGATATCATAAACGAGTACAATGCTAACAAAATTAGTGTGAAAAGAGAGTAAACACAAATAACATCTTTTTTTACAACAGCACTAGGCACGTTGGAAATGTAAAGTAAATATCAATATTAAGTTTTAAACTGATAACCTTCTTTCGGTTTTTTTCATTTACTATGGGGATTTATCAACTGAACGTGCAACAGATTAATTTTCATCGTCGAAATTCATTATTTTAATAAAAAAATGATATTAGTTGAAGAGATCTTTCGGAGATTGATTTTCCTTGTGGGTTGTACTCGTCACAAAATGATCTCACTTAGGGTACAATCAACTAAAAATATCCATTATTATAAGGCGACTGTAAAAATTATGAAATCTAAAATTTCAACAATCGTCACAAATGTTCAATAATAATAATAATAATAATAATAATAATAATAATAATGTTTAAAAATTGTGACTAGTTTCAAGATGTCAATAATGGAGTCCTTCCTAATGAGAAGTCGTGACTAATGGTGTTCAACCATGTCAAGTGTGGTGCAGTTACCCATCAATGACATGGGAGATGGACGCGCTTTATTGAGAATTGGTTGCAGATAAACGTGTACGCTATTGAATACCAACTCACTGATTTGATGGTCAAGCGTTCGTTTGATAAGTGAATTTGTAAAATGTTATACCTGAATGAAGACGAACAACGTACAAGGCAGTGGCTGTCTCGAGTTAGTATGAACAGTGTGAACCCAAACGCTTGAATGACGGTATATCCAACTAAGTACAAAAAATTGGACGAAATGCGCTTCCTACATTCCACTGTCAGGCACTATCTAACTTACAAAAATATTTTCAATAATTGAGAAAATAAAAAGCAGAGTATGGGCACGAACTGACTAACCTTTGAACCATCTCGCTTGTGGGATATGGTGTAACATCTTGAAAAGCACTAATTGCATGTGCCACATAACCAAACGTTAATCCTAATGAAAAGTGTGAAAGAAAAACAAAAATAAATTTACCTATTTGTCAATTATATGACATAAAGAAAATTTCCACAATTATAGTTAAAATTCATCAATCATTGTAAACATATTGAAAAGTGGATTAACAAGAACTAATGAATTGTTTTGCTTGATCATTGCAAACATGTCAGTAGTGAAACAATTTTCACTATTAGTGTTGAATGCTTCTCTTGTTATATTGTAAAATGATCGAAATTGAAATTGTGCCATTACTATCCAGTATTCGTGAGTTTTCAGTGGTGCCCCAACTACAATCGATCTGTGATGAATACAATTTACAAAACGGTGAAATATCAGTCTATCCTAGTCACGATAACACAGGAGACAATTACAATTATAATTGTTCAGTATTTTTCACAATATAACAGTAGAACAATGAATATTCTGATAAACTTAATTTTAATTAGAGCTTTGTATTTAATTAATTACAAGCCTAAAGTTTGAAACTCTTAAGAAATATACATACATTACAAATATAATCCCAAAATAGGCTCACTCTTATCTTAATCCCTTGTTTAAAATATGTCTATGAGTGCACTGAGTTTTGACAAAAAATGGGAATATATAATTTCGATGTTTCTAGCAATAAAAAACAAAACATTTTTAATAATAAATATGTTTTTGCTATATCCAAATGAGTAGAAAAATTGTATTTATGACGTTTTGTGGCATAATGTAAGCCATTTCTTCAGAGTAAATAGACAACCGACATTCAATGAACACAAATTTAAATAGTTATTTATTACTCTGAAAAAGTGGCTTACATTAAGTCACGAAACGTCAGAAATACAATTTTTCTACTCATTGGGATATAACAAAAATATATTTATTATTAACTCTCTCTACCCAATGCTTGTTTTATTTGGAACTATCAAGTTCAACCTTGGTAGTGATATCTAAAAAAACATTCTTATTTACTCAAAACGGTTAACAAGACTTTTTAATGCTGTCTAAAGTGAATAGTCAGTGTTTCCTAGTATTGGACGAATTTCAATTCGATTCCATTCGATAGAATTAAACAAAATTGTTCAAGATCACTGTGGTCTACATTATATATTCAGTTATCTTTGTAATAAATAGAGATTGAGCAAAGTTATTATCAGTAAACACACACAACGATTGTTCGACTGATCAATTACCAAGACAAACAAGCTGATAGAAACCATTAGTAATAGTAAGATTTTGTCATTTAAATATTTATGAGACTGGTAGACTGTTTTCATTCCAAATCGACTAGAATTTTAAAATAAATCTCATTATTAGGTTGCTCGGATTTTATAATTTTAGATTATTAAGATTTGTTTAGATATCGAATGACTATATGCGTTAAAAACTGTATTTACGGATAAAACAATATAAATGAACTGTCGAAGCCAAAACAATTCGTGAGAAATACGCCCCTTGACTTACCAATCATAACACAGATAATTAGTGAAATCGATGTGTTGCGAATACCTTTAGTTGTCATATTACGATCACGTAAATTCAAACCAAAAAGAATGCACATGATTGGATCCTAGAAGATAAAGGGTTAATTAGGAATACAATTAGAATGATTATGAAGATAATTTTCATCATGAAACATCAACAATTGAAGGACTGTTGTGAATCATGAAAGATTAGATACATGTTTTGTTTTTGAATTAGAGATTGTTGACTATGTACGTTGAATTTTAGTATGTATTACGCACTGCTAATACTTTTGCTTAATTGTCTTAGCTTATCCAATAATATATATGTAAGAAAGAGAGAGAACATCAAACCAGTACAGCATAAAATTTAAGCAAGGAAAATCTAAGGATCGCATTAGTGTGACAGAGTTACCGGACTGACATAAAACATTTGGTATCAACCATAGATATTTGTTATCATAAGGGGACTGTAAAAATTATGAAATCTAAAATTTCAACAATCGTCACAAATGTTCAATAATAATAATAATAATGATAATAATAATAATGTTTAAAAATTGTGACTAGTTTCAAGATGTCAATAATGGAGTCCTTCCTAATGAGAAGTCGTGACTAGCGGTGCTCAACCATGTCAAGTGTGGTGCAGTTACCCATCAATGACATGGGAGATGGACGCGCCTTATTGAGAATTGATTGAAGATAAACGTGTACACTCAGTGATCTGATGGTTAAGTGTCCATCTACAGACCTGAATTTCTTGAATTCACTATCTACTAGGGTCATGTATGAACACTAGTGAGTAGTTCTACATTAAGATTAAATAGATGTCCAGTGCTTCTCAATCTTTATCGTTTTTCTAATCAAGATAAAGTCGTGATATGAACTATGAAGTTGTCTGCAATTAGTCATATAAAGTCAGATAGCAATCATTTTTCGACTCATGATATTCTAACATGTAATAATAGCAATTATTATTATTATTATTATTATTATTATTATTATTATTATTATTATACATTTACCCTTAGTGATAGACATATCAATCTGTTTATTCTAAGGAATTTATCTCCACTAGTGTCAAAGATACTAAGACTAACTAAAGGTAACACAACACAAGCAATTAGCTCAACTGACCTGTTGAAATGCTTATTGATAAATGGGAAAACATCGGTATTGACATGATAGTCAAAGCATTAAGCACCAAACACTACTAATGAGCGAGCGTAATGTTTATTTATTGCCAAAGTTTTGAGAAATAAAATCAATATTGTATGTATTATTAGCTGCAGAAAACAGCTAATGATTATGATCAAATGAGGTTTGCACGAAATAAATAAGTATTAACTTCTAAGCTCTTCTTTTTTCTTTTACTTCATTGATGAGCAGTTGAGCCTTCATGAGTGACCTCTTGACAATGTTATGATATATTCATTCAGATCACATAACGCTAGGCAATCAACTCATAAGGCTAAATTATAAACTTTGTAGCATGTAACGTTCCTGAAATCACTGGAAAATTCAGTCTTACATTGATCACCAAGTAAATTAAACATTAAAGTCTTTACACAATGTCTCCAATGGCAACAATAAGTGACTATAATTTTGTCCTATTATAGATCGCTGATAAGAATCGATAAGAATGAGACAGTTTCCCATTTTAAACTCTATTCCATTTCAAGCTGCTTCAAAAAAGCTATTTAGGTGAACAGAATGGATGACCAATTACTACTACTTGGATAAACTATGGCAGCGAATATTTTCCAGTCTTATAACATAATACGATAGTTTTTAAAATGATTGCGTTCACACAGTATGTTTGGGATAAATTTAACGAACAAAAATTCTGTAGTTTTATCATATCTATTGTCAGCTGTCAGTCAGTCAGTTGGTAACAACGTAGAACTTCGTACGTACGTACATCAGTTCGGGTTGCCACACCACATTAGCACGGAGATGCAGTGGTCGATTCAAATCCCGTAGTGCTAGATGTAGTAAAATTATAAGCTGTAATCAGAAAAATTACGGTTTGAAGATGTTATTCAAGGAGTATAATACAGTGAAATAAATTTGGAAAGAGGAAAAAAGGGGCATGAAGAATTCAAAAGATTAGAATTTGGGAGAACACAAAGAGTGGATGCACCTGCGCCATGTCAATCAAGGTCTCTAACCATCGTTTGCTATCGTCTTGCGGATCCTAACCATTTTGGCTACACCTACCAACATGGCTCAGTCTACTTGTCAGTGACTTCATGGACTTGTGCCATGTTTTGGTCTGGCCGCCCCTAGTTTTCTTCCAATCTACTACTATACAACAAAACATCGCACATCGAGGCAGTCGGTCGTTGGGCATACGTAACACGTGTCCCAGCCATCTCAACTGATGAAGTTTCACTACGTCATCAGTTGATTTGCCATCCTTACCTAGTACCCGTTTTCTAACAACTGCATTACTTACTCGATGGTTTCAGGATATACGAGCAATATTTCGAAGACACCTATGATCAAATACTAGTAACCTACGGATATCCTCTACTCTTACCGGCCATATTGTCAGCTGTAGTACACCTGTATTTTTTTGAAAGAGCATATTGTGAGACAAACCGCCAAATTTATTCTAAACATCTTAGTGAAAGCGACTAGAATACATGAAAAGGGTTAATTTGTATCATGAAGGACCTTGCCAGGGATTATGAATATTTCAACATCATTCTTAGTATTCTTTACCCATAGTAAGAACAATGAGATACGAGGAAAGCTGAAAGAGACTATAAGTTTGTGAGTTATTAAAAAGAACATAGCAGACATAGCAGACCTCCATATACCAGATTCCAATCAATAATTTCAAGAGAAAATAATGGAGACCCAGGGATGGAATATGACCTCTGGGGGTGGGGAATGAAAATTTCAGCTTCCTGCTTAAAACGTTCCTTGAACGAGAACTTTCGTTAACAATCAAACAAAGGAAATAAAGACCAACATCATAAAAAAAGGATTCAAAATACCATAGGACTCTTCTTCGACCATTTTATGTGTCATCCTAATTTAATAATATCCCGAAAGAAATTATTTTTCACTGCGTTTTTAACTTTTTTCATTTTTTTTAAGAACAGTAATTTTTCAAATAAGTCCCAGGTGGTTTTCATTAAATCCAACTTACTCTTCCTTTTGACATTGATAAGCCTTTCTCATAGAAGCTCGATAACAGTTACCCGATTTTAAAAACCGCAGAGCTGATAAGCTATCGTTTAGGTTGAAATAACTTCAAAAACTCTCTACCTATGCATGCCAGATGAATTACAACGAAAAGTCCACCTCTATCTCTCACTTAAAGTAGATAAAACTCCTCTGAAACTAAACTGATAGAGAATAAGTGCGAGGAGGGAGTATTGTGTTTAGTATGTCTTAGTGTTTGCTTGTTGAAGTGTAAAATTATGCATCTGCAAACCAAGAGTAAGATACGATAGTGTATATATAGATAACTTCCTCGTTGACCCCATGGTCCACACTTTGAAAATTTCTCTTTGTATATCAAGTTTGTTTAGAAAACTAATGTTTGAAATTTCCAGATTTAAAATATTAAGTTACCAACCTGGTTAATGACATTTTTCACCAACATTCAATTAAAGAGAAAAACAACAATTCTAACTATCGTGTGGCTATAGCTAGGCTTCCCTCTGTGTTTTAATTTATTGCCCTTGACTGTTTTAGTTTTTCTTCCTTAATGTTATCGTCAAAACATTGTTTTTACTTTCTGTTGTAATTTTAAGCTTGAAAGCCTGAACCGAGATAATCCTGGTATAGTGGGTTGTGGAGAGTGATAAGATTTTGGAGTTTTACAACAATAATTGACCATTGAAAACCAAAAGGCATTAAACGTCTGTTTCATCTCAGTATGGGACTAGTAAATGGTGTGCAACCACAATCTCAAGTAATAATTGCACAAGGTTCTACTTTTTTCTCGTTCTGTATGTTACACTCGTCAATCAGTGTTAAAACAGTCAAACAATCCAAACATAATAATAATAATAATAATAATAATAATAATAATAATAATAATAACGATTCTCTAGCTGTTCTAGTAGCAGTTTAAAAAAGTTACTTTGAAGCGTATACTTATGACTTTTGGTAGTATTGGATTACTGGAAACCAAAGTAAGTTCAAATGAGAACGGATACGAAATGTACAGCCTAGACTATAGAAGTAACAGCATCAATTTATAGATTATAAATAGAAAATAGATAAAATATAAACATGTTGCGTAAACAATAAAATAATGCAATTGAGTGGACACAAAAACGCAGTGAATTCTGCATGGCATTAATAACAATTTGAAGAAAGAAAATTTTTAAACTCTGATCATCTGACTGATTCTCAGTTTATTAGGGGTCATTTGATTTCTGTTATTTTTCAGAATAAATTAAAACAGCATATACAATGAGAGAGTGTTTGAATTCAAGTAGTGAGATTTGAAAACTTGTTATAAATTTAATATGGTCACTAAGCATAATTATGTTTGATCACTTGACTCTGATTTATCTAGTTATTTATTCAAGTGAATATTTTTTTAAAGTGGAAAACGCTTATGAGACGAAAAAAAGTGAAAAACGGTTTCTTGTCATGAATTTCTCTCTCCCCCTTTCTTATGCATTTCAAATGAACTTTTTCTGCTGTTAAGAAAAGAATTGATAGGCTTTTGTTGTTGCAAACAAGATCCAACACAAAAAAGTTGTTATTTATTAAAAGTTTCACCATATCTTCCGTTAAGTAGGTTCTATTGATGAAATAGTTTAGTGAAACAATATGTATGCTTTTTAGAAACGAACCTATGAATCAGCAAGCTGTTCAGTGTGTTACAGTCTTCGAACAAATGAGGCCGATCTTACTGAATATGACGTACCTACTGGTATTTTACAGTTCATTTCCTAAATTCATACATATTCCCACCAACGTAGAATATATTTGTATTTATGTCATTAATCATGACTTTTTATTTTCATTAGGCATTGAGAAAATAAAATTCATTGTGAAATATACTTTCTTAAGACCACACAAGTTTTGAAAATAATAAAACTTTGAGCGATCACGGAGCTTCCATTTAGTTTCTAATTTACAATGGGTTTGTAGTGAAAGCTTTGATATCTAGCCAAGTTCAATATCATCTATGCTTCATTATTCCTCAGTTATGGAGACTGAGTAAATTTGTATTCCATACATATTAATACTAAGAAAACAGATTACATTTATTTCCAGTTAAGAGATGTTTGTTGTTGAATTATCTTGTAATACCGAAGCCACGCAAATCTAAATAAAATACTTCTTAAAAATATTCCATTTAACTGAATGCAAATATCCTACGCTGCTCACAGGTGAATTGGCTATGTAACCATTCACATGTGGTGTCAACAAGCTTTTATACAGATGTCATTTAGTCAAAATTGAAAATCACGATCTTCAGTGGGTAACTGAAGTGGACTAAATAATTATTGATTTGCAATACATTGACGAGAAACTTTATAGATTGATATCACGTTACTATAAAGACCTATAGTAGTCAAAGGTAAAATATATTTAAATCTGTACTTATTTTTTCACCTCACTGACATTCAACACACTTAAGTCTACACAATTAAGTGATTTCTTCATTTCTTGTTGTTTAACCTCGGTCATACAGTTGAGGATATTACTGGTAACTTATCAGTAAGTAACAGTTGTGTATTACATGAATACAAGTGGGCTGTCCAAACTTTCTGCTGAACGAAAGAGAAGATCAACAGCGATACAGAGGATTTTTGATTAACTAGAAATCGTTGTTTAATACTTCATTTAAATATACCAAAGTAAATTTGTGGTTGCACAGAAGCTGTGAAATGCTATATATATATATATATATATATATATATATATATATATATATATATATATATATATATATATATATATGCATGTCAAAACTTTTGAGAACACAATTATCTGCATGAACAAGTACCAAGAAACCACTCATTTTGTTTTCATAGGATTGTAAAGTACACAAATAGTGAACAAAAGCAGAAATTAGTCAACTTATAAACAGCATAAACTCATACCGTGCTGAACAGTAGTTTTAGCAAACTCATTGTAATACATTATAAGTTTAGAACGAAATAAACGAATACAAACAAAACCATTGTGAGATCAGACTGATCTATCTCTCCACATCTACTCACTAATATTGCATATTTTGTTATTGAGTCTCATACCTTATGCAATTTTGCTAATTTCGTGTACTCTAAAGAAAAGCTGGTCCTTCTACAATGCTACTAGTCTAAAGCGCAATCGGTACAATTTTTACGGTGAACCATCCCTAGATATTTGAAAAATGGCCAGTACAAAATTTATCCATGAGCCCAATTTGTAAAATAATAAACCTAAACTCTTTCTTTCCGAAACAGGTTCCTACAAAGATATTGGATCCAGTCAGTTAGAATCAACGTAAAAACTGGTACAAATTTGCATTAGTCTAAATTACCATACCACATCACCACAGATAGGCGAAACTATCAGGATACATGTCAGAGTAGTAGAAGTAGTAACAGTATTAATAGTAATGGAAAACATTAGGCATAGACCATATGGTTTGATAAGAAAGAGCGAGTTCGTGGGATAAAAAGTATACAATAATTTTAAAACTAAAGATCCAAAAGAAGACAGTATACTGAGTTACTAATAAGCAAACGAATATCAATCAGCAGCGAAAATTAAAAATTTGGAGTTATACTTGTTGTGGTAAAATAAAATATCTTCGAGTCATGCTGAAATTTTAATTGGGATTCTAGTTTAAAGCCAGACCAACTTATCTCTTTTATTTCATCTATAATTGCATTGATGTGATAGCTAAATTGGCGACGAAACTGAAACTTAGAGAACATTTTAACTCGACCAATAATCCTACTCATTTTCAGAATGAAACTTTTATCGAGAAAATATTTGATCTGTGTTAAAATTTGATGACCAATAAATGAAAAAAATGTTAACTGTAACACAACCACTGGAAAATAATATTTAACTAGAAACTAAGAATATCACCCTCCGGAAAAAATCCACACAACTTTGCCATAATTAGAATCACGTGAACCGATCAAAATCTTAATTACATGAACGCACTGTTACATTTCAAATAATTTCACATGAAGCTAAACTGAACTTCAGAGAAAGAAGCCGTGATTTTCCTAAGTATGGAAATTAATTCTGTCAACGAGAGTTAACAAACACAAAACTAGTCCATTTTTTTACAAACGTTCTATGCATTACGTTCTTTCATGCATTTGTAAATGTAATAAATCTAGCCCCTATCCCCCAAAAAAGAACAAATAACCTTCACTGAATACAGTCATGTTATACAGTAGTCCTGTATACTTACCATCAAAGGAGATAATAGCATACTTGCAAATACGACGCCAGCAGAATTGGTCACGAGAGCTATATTTGCCACAATAGCTGCACACAGTAGGAAACATAAATAATTCATATCAAACGATCCACGTTGGTTAATTTCGTTGTAAACCTAGAAAAAAAGAAAAAACAGGCCCATTTGCCAGTGATTATCGTAATTGAATGGGTTTAGTGAGTGATTTCAAGCTTATCAAAGTCAGTACTTTTTATCTCAAGCTCACTTAATAGACGATTGTTTAGTGGGCGGAACAAGAAGCGATTTTTCTGACGTATAGAGTTCAAGATAACACATACTATGGTTTTCACTGATTGTATACAAACATGAAACTACCTTGAATTTTTAGATAAACAGTTAAGAACGGAGAGCGGGAAATCATGACATACTAACGAGCATTTTGATGAAAATGAGTCGAGTATAGTCGTAATTGAAATCGTGCAAGTTGTTCGATCTGGATCGACCTCAGGAAAACGGTGCAGTCATAAAATGTATATAACATGGACAAAAATAACATTTTATAGTTTATCTACCATCTGGTCCATTATACAAATAGATCAACTTTTTGCTGCGGAATAAAAAACATAAACTAACTACATTTTTCACTTTATTAAGCAAAGGCTTAGTCGTTCATAATTAATAGTCGCGAAATACATTAAGGCGCTTTTATTCTATGTAGGTCGGAAAGTGTTGCGATGTTTCACAACCGTGTTGATCAAACAATGGCAGATGATTTCTTCCGAAGTAAGTTTTATTATATAATAAACTCATCGCACATTATAAACAAGCTGAACTCCATAACTATTATTGTACATCGAAAAGACCGTTTATTATTTTTATAAAACTAAAGAATAAACAGTGAAGAACATAAATCCTTTAATTACTCAGACAAATATATTTGTTGTTCAAACACAACATGGACACAAAGCGATATGGAAACTACCGCATACATTAATTCACAACGGATAAATCAATGGACATTAATCCATAACAGATAATACTAATTTTAGATATGGGTTAAAGTAAAGACTAACGGATGAGGTCATCGAGAAAAACAAAAACATTTCTGAAGGAAATTGTTATTAACTACGGGATAATAAAAAAATTGCGTCGGTTAAGACAAATTTTTTTGCTGTTTCTTCTAAAAGCTTCTCTTATCTAATGAATAATTAGATAGTGTTATGTAAAATGTTCTTAATCGGACAGGTATGTGTATTATCTATGGTCTGAGTGGCGATAATTTTAAACCGAACAAAAGATGGTATATCAAGTATCAATGGACATTTTAACAATATCATTTGTAGTTCTGTAAAACACTGATTCTAACACCTTACACGGAATATGGTTATGTATGTCTTGACCTTGAAAAAGACGATCAACACTCGTTAGACAAATCCTTCTACAATTTCGTTAAGCCTCTTTTGAATAGACAAAGCTGAGCACGTTGTAAAAAAAATATCAAGTTATTCAGCCCTATGGGTGATTAGTGAATAATGGTGTTGATTTTTACCCACCATTTAATTCATTAACTCCTTAATAGTTTCTGTTTATAAGTAATGAAATATGTGTAGCAAATATAATAATTTCATAGCAGTCGCATTGTGTAAACAAACAATTTTACATAAAATAAGATGAGCAACTAGAATCAGTCCGTGATGTAACCTAAAAAATTCAACAATCGTCGCAACCCCTCTACAGTAACTAATAGTGGTTTGTTCATTAGTGACTAATTTCCAGGGGTAGTTCCTGGGGTTTTAGTGAGGAGCCGTAAATAGTGAAGCTCAGCCATGTCAAGTGTGATGCAGTTACATATCAATGACATTGTAAGATGGTTGCGCTTTATTACGAATCTATTGAAGCTAAACATGTGCACCACTGGATGTAGACCCAGTGATCGCATGGTTAGGCATTCGTCGCGAGATCTGAATGTTTTGATGTCGTGAATGCGTCTGTATTAGGACGAAATGGTCATCCAATGCTTTTTGGATTTCAATGTTTGTTTATTCATGATGAATTCGTCATGTGAACTATAAAAGATACATAAGCTTGAAAAGAACAACATAATCTACCAAAAAAGACGAATTTGAGGGAAAATAAGTGTTAATAAATTCGATAAGATGAAAATCAGTAACAGTCTGAAATTTATCCAGCCCAGAGTGAAATTTAATTCAAGTAAAAGAATTGCTACCAACACTTTTGAATTATAAATATTCCATGACGAAAAGTGACAATTAGTGTTTTGCAGTACACTACTTAAATAAGGAAGTTTCCTATAAACTCCACAATTATTTTACGAATAATCAATAATGCATGTAAAAAATATGTCACTACTATGAACCGATAGGAAAGAATATTCTTCAGTTTGCCTTAATAATAACAACTATGATATTATAAATTTCATATTCACTTTTATTTATAACGTATTCTCATTTGAAATGAAAAATAATCAAACATTTACATTTGTGTAGGATTTCATTTCTGCTGTTTCTTGGAGAATCAAATCTAAATACTTATCTAGATATCCAGAGAAACATTTGTCGATAAGTGTCATAGTCAGAATAGACAATCTAGCCACTTACTGGATTACTGACTACGTGTTGTTATATGTTATAATACTGGTTATAATCAACTTGATTTACCATCGAGCTCTAACACTTGTGCACTTAACAGTAATCATTTATAATTGTTTCTCTTACACAAACATCCTCAGAAATTCTAAATCTGTATACATAGTTTATTTGGCATCAACTCAAATATATATCCTTTCAGTTATATGATATATTCACGTTTAATTTACAAACAAAATTTCTGACTTGTAACCTATGCATAATAATTATTAGACAATTAATTAATTAACTAAACGTATAATAATATAAGATGTGATAGTGATTGAAGGTAGTCAACAGGAAACCCTGGACCCGGGTTTCCTGTTGACTACCTTCAATCACCATCTTATCTCAACATAGTGCATGCAGTGTCAAGTCACCTAGACTAGTGGCGACATTGCAACTTGGTTGACAGCATTCGATCTGCACTAAGAAGGACTTGACAAACATGACATTGATCACCACCCAGTGACCAATCAATTGTGAATATAAGATGTTTTCAGTGTAATTTGCTAATTACTCCTGAACTAACAATCATCTCATGACAGTTCTAATTCTAGATAAACCAACAAAACGAAAACAACACAACCCACATAAAGAGCTGAATAAAACTACAAATATAATGAGAGAAGAGTTTTAAGAATGAAAGGTGAGTGAATTGATAAGAAAAATAAACAAATAACTCAAATTTAATAATTTCGATTATATTTTTGATACATTTTTTTTGCAAAGAACTCATATTCCCAAAATAGAAACAGTAACTTGATTAAAAAAGTGGTATACCTGAGCAACACACAATCTTGATTTCAGAGTTCCAATAAAGTTTTGAATTGCCGAATATGATATAACACCGGATTTTTCTCCTCTGAAAATGAAAGGAGATAAATAATTTTGATAAGACAGATAATTTAAGACAATAATAATCTGATACAAGGAGTGTAAGAACATTGATGCTTTTATTATAGTGAACAAGAACACCAGTGGGGTACAATCGAATGTATTTAACACAAAATTACAGGACTTGTTAATACAATCTAACAATCATAAAGTAAATGCTTAATTTGCAAAATGTCCATCGATTGTCTCAAAATCACTCAGACTTCATTGTTCTTGCATTTCCATACAAATTGCATCCTGTTTCGATTCTTTACTGTTCGACCCTCTTGTCTCCCTGCTGCCAGACTTTCTGTTCACGACTAACATCACATACGACTTACGTCGATATAATTAGCACACACCACATTACCACTACTGTTACTACTGAATAGTTCAGGTAAACTGATAGAATGACAACCAATTTTATAAACATTAAAAGAAGTAGGGAAATAGACATGCTTTCTTCAAGTTGCCTAAAGAGGAAAACTTAATGTTCACAATGAGTAAATCTCTTATCAATTTATGTTCTAGTTTAGTAAACATTTTGCAATACATGGACTGTTTAGGTTTGCATAATCAGTGATTAGTAATTTAAAATCTGGTATAAATGCTGACTTGCCCAAAATGCTTCAGCACCTCACATCAATAGAGAGGGAGAAAGTTTCCAAAATGGGATGAAAATAAAGTACTGGGAGATATTATCAACCCTAACAGAAGTCTAGCCATAAGAAATATAGTTTAAAATGAACGAACCGGATGAAAGAATGGGAAGTTGGGGATGTCAACTGATTCAAGCTTTTGAGGAAAATAGAGAATGAGTACAACTGTACCACAGTAACCAACTTTGACTCAAGTTACCCTATATCACCAACTAGTGATTAAGGGTATTGTGTAAGACCAGCTAGGAAGTCTGGACCTTAAAGACGAAGTAGGCTTTAGCATGCTGAATTCTTCCTTTGTTTAAACAACGGGAATAACCTATTTGGATTGAGGTGCAATAAAATGTCTTTGTGAACAATAAGCAGCCGGTTGACATTAACCACCTTCAACAAGTTTCAGTTAAATACGTGGAACAACATGACTTTCCGTCAAACCTCATGGTTAGAAACATAACAACTGGTTATCTTGTAGCATTAGTAGAAAATCTAATGTTTCAGTGTGTTTTAAATTCACTTTTATAAATATGAATAAGCAAGGAACCTTTCTGAAGACTGTTGTAGTAATTGGTTTACTTAATTGACCAGATTCACTGTTAACTCTTATGTGGAATGCTGATTGTAATAAAGGCAGATTTTACTTTAGTTTTGACTGTAGACTGAAATTTTATGGGAACTCAGAAAAACCAAAGTGCACTAAACAGCCACCCAGTCCTAGTTTGAAAGTAATCATCAGCATTCATACATCAGGGATCGAATCAAGGAATTCCTGACCTTCTTGGTAGTGAGCACGATACCTATAAACTACAAAGTCAAAGTACATATCATAATATGTCTCACTCTTCATCCAGCTGGATTAAGTTTGTTATGACCCATCATTGGGACCTCAGAAGTTCTTCTCGAACCTAGTTACTAATGAGCAGGTAGTTATTATCTCAATAAATGATTGTATGAAGATACTTCGGTTAGAGGTGATGAACGCGCATTACTTTTACTGTTGAATCACAAAACAGGAAGAAATCGCTGTTCAAAAATACCCGCAGTCCAGCGGTTCTTAGAGCTGTTATTAATTCCTAGTAGGAACTAACTTCAAAATGAACAATCTTTACAAAACCCCTACCTTAACAAATAAAGGTTTACCAGATCAATAAATGACGCTTTTCATAAAATCAGTATGATTTCTGACTTAGTATTTGTTCTCTAAATGAAATCTAATTTATGACTTACGCTAGCATTGGTCAATAATTCCGAGAAAATAAATGATAAATTAGTTTGAATACATAAGTAAATAACGCTCAAAATATTAACATTAGGATACATCATTGTAATCCAAGGAATTTGCGTCAATGATGAAGTGTCTTATTAATAATGAATTATAATTCAAATGCTGACAGTCATGTGCGAGGGAATCATACTTTTTTAATCAAGTAAAAAATGGTATGAAATCACTTTAGAAAAAATTACCCTCCCACTTTTACAGCAACATATAGTCGTCAGCATACAAATGGTAATTCTAAAAGGTTGTTAAACATGAATGAAAAGATAATGTGGTGCGTGCTTCTGATGTCGGCAGATATAAGTAGTATGTATCATCAATCGAAAGTGAAGCGTCTGTAGGCCGAAGTTTACGAAGATCGAAGAGAAGAGAACGAGAACAGTGAATGATTGGTGTGGAAACAAAGAAACAATCAAGTCTGTGACGATTGATTGACATTTTGCAAATGAAGTGTTTACTTTATGAATAAAATAATATATTTGTAATATCCCAATGAGTAGAAAACTTAGATTAACTCCACCTGCAGCTCTTCTAGAGTTACTGCCGGTTCCAAGCCCGGGTAAAGGAGGAGGGTTGGGCATGGGGTTAGCGACCCCATCCTGTAGAAAACTAACCCGCTAAAAAACTCTAATCAGAAAAAATAGTTCAAACCATTTAAACTCTGCCCTGGGAGTTAGAAGGTCTTCACTTAGAAGAATTATGACGCTTCATGGTGAAAGCCGAGTTCCTTCGGAAGCCACGAGGCCGATGCCCCTTCTAACAACTAGAGCAAAAATTTTTATAGGTACATGGAACGTTCAAACAATGTGGGAAACCGGGAAGACCAGTCAAATAGCAATGGAAATGAGGAGATACAACTTAGCAGTACTGGGAATCAGCGAAACCCACTGGACCCAAGCTGGACAGAAAAGGCTAGCTACGGGAGAGATGCTGCTATACTCCGGTCACGAAGAGGAAAATGCTCCACACACTCAGGGAGTCGCTCTAATGCTGTCCAAAGTAGCACGAAATGCACTTGTAGGATGGGAATCTCACGGATCCAGAATCATCAAAGCATCATTCAAAACAAAGAAGGAGGGGATCATAATGAATATTATCCAATGTTATGCACCCACCAATGATAGCAACGACGACATTAAAGATCAGTTCTACGAGCGGCTGCAGTCAATCATAGAGAAATGCCCAAGAAAGGACCTCACTATTCTGATGGGAGATCTAAATGCCAAAGTCGGAATAGACAACACTGGATATGAAGATATTATGGGACGACATGGACTGGGAGAGAAACGAAAATGGAGAAAGATTTGCAAATCTGTGTGCATTCAACAAATTGGTCATAGGAGGCACAATATTTCCACACAAACGTATACACAAGGCTACATGGATCTCACCGGACCACACTACAGAGAACCAAATAGATCATATTTGCATCAAAAAAAATTCCGAAGGACAATGGAAGATGTGAGAACCAGGAGAGGTGCTGACGTAGCTTCAGATCACCACCTAGTTGTAGCCAATTTAAAACTGAAGCTAAAAAAGAACTGGACAAGTGGACAAACAGCACTACAAAGGTTCAATACAGCCTTCCTTCGAGATACTGACAAACTCAATGAATTCAAGATAGCTCTCAACAACAGGTTCCAAGCCTTACAAGATCTACTGAAAGAAGAAGAAACTACTATGGAGGACAACTGGAAAGGCATCAAGGAAGCATTAACTTCAACGTGTCAAGAGGTTCTGGGCCTAAAGAAACACCATCATAAGGAATGGATCTCTATAGAAACACTGGACAAGATCAAAGAAAGGAAGAACAAGAAGGCAGCAATTAACAACAGCCGAACACGAGCAGAGAAAGTCCAAGCACAAGCTGAATACATAGAAGCAAACAAACAAGTGAAGAGGAGCATTAGAGCCGACAAGAAGAAATACGTGGAAGAACTAGCAACGACGGCAGAAAAAGCTGCTAGAGAAGGAAATATGAAACAGCTTTACGATACAACGAAGAAACTAGCAGGGAAATACAGTAAACCAGAGAGGCCGGTCAAAGACAAAGAAGGCAAGCCAATCACCGAAATTCAACAACAGCGTAACAGATGGGTAGAATACTTCGAGGAACTCCTGAATAGGCCGGCTCCAATGAATCCACCGGACATCGAAGCAGCACACATAGATCTTCCTATAGATGTCAACCCACCAACGACGGAAGAAATTAGAATGGCCGTCAGACAAATCAAGAACGGGAAAGCAGCAGGACCCGACAACATACCAGCTGAAGCACTGAAATCAGACATCGAAGCAACCACAAGCATGCTTACCTTCTATTCAAAAAGATTTGGGAGGAGGAACAAGTGCCGATGGACTGGAAAGAAGGACACCTCGTCAAGATTCCAAAGAAAGGAGATCTGAGCAAATGTGAAAACTACAGAGGCATTACACTACTGTCAATACCAGGGAAAGTCTTCAACAGAGTGTTGCTGAACCGGATGAAGGATGCAGTAGACGCCCAACTTCGAGATCAACAAGCTGGATTCCGTAAGGATCGGTCGTGCACAGACCAAATTGCAACACTACGGATCATCGTCGAACAATCAGTTGAGTGGAACTCATCACTATACATCAACTTCATTGATTATGAAAAGGCATTCGACAGTGTAGATAGGAGGACATTATGGAAACTTCTTCGACACTACGGAGTTCCTGAGAAGATTGTCAATATTATCCGGAACTCATACGACGAACTACAGTGCAAAGTAGTGCATGGAGGACAGCTGACAGATGCATTCCAAGTAAGGACCGGAGTCAGACAAGGCTGTTTACTCTCTCCCTTCCTCTTTCTTCTGGTGGTCGACTGGATTATGAAGACCTCGACATCTGAGGGAAAACACGGAATACAATGGACAGCTCAGGATCAGTTAGACAATTTGGACTTTGTAGATGACCTAGCCCTCCTATCACATACACATACACATACACAGATGCAGATAAAGACAGTCAGTATAGAAGCAGTCTCTGCATCAGTAGGCCTCAGCATACACAAGGGGAAAACAAGGTTCTCATTATGAAAAAATAAATAGGTCAATGAGATAAAGATCAAGTTTGTCTTCTCACTGTATCATTCAAATTTATCAAAATAAGTATTTAGTTCAAACTTTTTATAACGCTCTACTCATATTAGTGTTATAACTTGTGTGCTGTGTGCCCTGTTAATGTATAACATAACGATACCACCAATTAGAGATCAGTGACTTATCGATCGGACCTATGACGCGTAAGCCCGTATGAACGGTCTAGAGCCCTGATTGGTCCTGTTTTCCGCCTAGCCCAGCCAGTTAATTCTAGAACACCAATCTCAGCCTCTGTAATATGAATCATTTATTTCAAACATACGGGGTTTATGTACTAATCAAACAGACCACATCTTACCATAAAATAGGAAACAACATTTGTACAAAATTTGGCCAAATGTGGCTGTGAATGTGGGAGGTAGTGATTAACAGACAAGGAATAATTCACGAATGGAAAGTAGTATAATAACAGCTCATAGGTTAAAATAAAGTTATGATTAGAGAGACATGAATATGAATAGTTGAGTTAATTAACAATTATACGTTAAAAATATACACATAGTAGTGGTCCATAAATGGATCCCAAAAATTATCACTCATTATTCTTATCGGAACATAACTATTAGTACCATAAACATTAAGGAAAACGAGTAAATATTCAGATAGTTTAATGCCAATGTTATGAAACTTGAAATTATGCTTGACTTATCACTGTTTACTTTTTTTTAACGTATATATGTGTCAGATAGCAAGAGTAATGAGTCTCTGGGGATATGCAACATACAGTAATAAAACTGCATCATAATATGTTTTAATTTCCACAATTTGATCTGAAATATATTTGGTTTAATTATTCACCCTATTAGATTTAGCCATTTAGTCATACACTAATCACTTGTTATTATCTTTATTCATGCCTTTCACTCCGTAGTTTGTGACGCTTTATTAACTGGTGTTATAAAAAAGCATATCAACTCATTTGTCAAATCACATTAATAGTGTCAATGTACATTAATGATTGTATTTAATTTGTATTTGAACAATTAAACAATAAATTATGATGAAGCAGTAGCTTATACCTCTAAACAAAAACCTAAACAGCGCAATAAAATAATAAATAACAGTTCCCATGAATTGCATAGTCAACAACGTCTATTTCTATATACAAATTCAATCAGACTAAATGCTGCATACTCTGAAAAGTTCATATTGATACATTTTTTTTAAACAAAACACTTGTGTACAACTGATCTTATTTATGTACAAATAATCTGATAAATTCAAAGCAATATATAATTAGTACCAGAAGAGGTTTTGTGGAGATTTTAGTAATTTCAGTTGTTGAGATCATGAAATTACTAGAATCTCCACAAAACCCCTTCTGATACTAATCAATATATGCTCACTAGTGACTGGCTTCAAGATGTATATCCTGGAGTCCTAGTGAGCAGTGACCAGTTGAGTTCAACCGAATCAATTGTGAGATAGTAACTCACTGATGACAATGGTGGATGTGTCACTCAATTTCGTGGATTAGTTGGAGTTAGACATTAACACCATTGGATGCCGACTCAGCGGTCTAGGGGTTAAGAGCAAGCGCGCGAGAATGATGGGCCCTGGGTTCGAATCCCACGAGGCGGAGTCGTGGATGAGCACTGCTGAGGAGTCCCACAATAGGACGAAACGGCCCTTCAGTGCTTCCAGGTTTTCCATGGTGATCTACCTTCAATTGACTCAACAATTCAATATGTAGTTGATTATACAGTTAAAAGTCAGGTATGAGATTAATTTGACTTTGAAGATGCTATGCTTCATTAAAAGATTTATAATGTACGCTTCGTTTTGATTATTTGATTATTTTATTTCTTGAATGTAAGAATCATGTAGTGGCTGTGCTTCGTTGACCAATCACCCTCGTAACCGTTACCATATAATTCTCAACGGTGTTTAAAATCAGAAGGTAAAGAGAGCAGCGACTACAGTTTTATTAGCAGATAACTCAGACCACAAAGCCGTGAGGCAAATGAATGAGTCAGCGAGCCGAGAGAGTAGTGTGTAAATGTACATGTATATATATATATATATATATATATATATATATATATATATGAATGGGTCATCGAATCAACTAAGCAGCTAATAATAAAGCTAGCAGCATGAATATATGCGTAGGCGGTAAGCAATGTTTAAGCATACATATTTCGTGCAAGCACAACAATAATAAAGGTACAATAAGTTGTTATAGTACGGATGACTGTCCGCTGAATAATTTAACAAAAGCGCTTAACTGGGTTAAATGAGAACAAACTCAATTGCACGTGAGTTGCTATAATCATACGACTACAAGCAGCTGCCAAAAAAACGAAGGGCCAGATCCTTATTTTCGAGTGGCTCAACTTCATGCAAATAAAACATGAAATTAGACCTGAATAACTTTTTTTCAGTAAATTATTGATTTGGATCAAAGAATAATGAGTCCATTCCCATTGTTGACTTGTTTAATCAAGTATTCGATCTCTAATTTGGTGCACAAAAGAGATAGAATGCAAGCGTTTTCAGTTAAGTTACAATGGGCTTATAGACGCAGATCTCTTTCTTGTTCAAACTGAACTGCTATCCGGGTCACTCTCATTTTACTAATGATTCAGCAAGGGGTGTATTCTAAGGTTCTTCGTATATAACTAGCTTATGCTCTTGAACTACATAAGACCACGTCAATCATGTGACTATTAAATTTTTTAATTCATTTCTATTGGCAGTTTTCCTGTAACCACTTTTATTACTAATCCTGAAACCTTATCCACATACCTTTCTATTGTATCTTTATTTTTCTATCTTATTGGATCATTTTTCTGTAGCAAATGTATTTTAAATACATTCTTATTACGGGACGCAAATCAGTTTATTTGGCACACTTTAGTTCATTTCCGATCATACTAGTCTGTTACAATTCCAGGTTAATTCACTCCATCCAATGTAATTAGTAGTCCTTCTAATACGATTCCTATACAATTAAAGATCGATCAAATTCTAGTGTCATTCTAATACTACTCCAGTTACAGTCCATTTCAATTCCTATTCCTTCTTATTATAAATCGGTTTTGTTTTCTATCATTGTACACACTGGTGATTTAAATTATTTAAACATATATTCAATAATACTACCATTAGAGTTCTCATTTCATTCGTCATCGGTCATTGAGATCAGTAGTATGAACGCTACATCAACACCAAATATTCGAAAATCCTCAGTAATTTTTATTACATATGATCAATTAAGTGAAATACAAGCCTATATACTACTTACTTATTACGTTTTTGAACATTTATCGTGGGCTCCGTAACCCTAAAATAGAATAACAAAATATCGAAGATAAATTTTCTCTTGGATCCATTGTTATAATTAGTTGAATAAACATTATACATTTTAGTACAGCCTGTTATATATATATATATATATATATATATATATTATATATATATATATATATATATATATATATACCGGATGGTTTAATTGTGAAGCTTTGTTATTCTGGGTAGCATCATCAAATGTCACTTCATTATGCATTTGATAAGTGGCCGATAGAACAAAACAGCTAATGAAAACAAAATAAAACATGAAAATAAGAGAAGCTCTGAAGACAAAAGTCGGATACGATGTCATCAGAACAAACCTACGACTTGATACTTGTGGAATATTCAACATGACCACTTCTATGTGAAATAAGAGCTGATGATACTGTCCCGCTCAGAGAATTCAACATAATACTAGAAAATTCCACCTGAGCTACAAACTTTCTACATTGATTCAGTATAAAGAGATTAAAGTAATGCAAGCCAATTACAATCACTTACATAATTGACGAGTCAAGTGTTTTTCCAATATTGAAATACGCTAGTCTGTCAAGGATACGTTCCATCTTATTCGAATCAGATACAGAAAATTGAACCTAGATTTGAAAATAATTACAGCAAAAATATTTAAAAAATATGGACTTTTTGATCGTTTCTCTGTGATAAAATTTCATTCACAACAAATAGTACTAAAATATTTGGAAGCATTAGGGCAGATCAACCCAAAAAGTACATTTCAATAAAAAAAAACTAATCCAAATAATTTTCTAATAGTTGAATTCACGATTCGATCTAAGCTACACCACCAATGAAAACCCAGAAGCACTGTATAGCCGTTTCGTCCTAGTATGGGACTCCTCAAAAAAGCGCATCTACGATCCCGCATACGGGACTCAAACTCAGGATTCTCGATCTCGCGAGTGAACACTTAATCTCTAGACCACTGAACCGGGATCCAACGGTGTTAATGTCTAAGTTCAATCGATCCATGATCTTTCGCAATCATTCATCCATTGTGCGAGGTAGATATCTATCTACCCGACATAGATTGGACTCCAGTGGTCACGGCTTCTCACTAGAACTCCAGGAAATCCATCTTGAAGCTAGTCACTAGTGAGCACATGATAATTATTATCAGAATGAGGGTTCAAGTCCCGCATGCGAGACCGTGTATGCGCACTGCTGATGGATCCCATACTAGGACGAAACGGCTGTACAGTGCTTCCAGGTTTTTAATGGTTGTCGAGCTAAGATCAACTCATGAATCCAACTAATGAAGAACCCAAATAAATTAAAATGTGGAAGTAATAACAGGAGGAATATACATTTTTAATAGTGAAGTTTTCAGATGTCTAATAGGAATTTTGCTTAAATCATGAATACTATTTGGAAGATAATTCCCACCCATAACTTTAAGCGAAATTGTCGGTCGCCAACTTTTATCTTGATAACTAGCTAATGAAAATTACGTACGAAAGAAAAACATATTCTGTGTTTCCTTTATTCCTCCAAACTGACATGAAAAGTTACAAAAGAAAAATTCCTATGAATAATATTCACAGTCGAGATCTTGAAAAAATTCATAAAAGTATATATATTCATAAGAATATTTTGTGTTAAAATAACTAACTCAGTTTTTTTTTTACAAGAAAATATGACAAGTATCATACCAATCGAAATCCATTTAGATATTACAGCGTGTCTAGTATCAAAATATAGGTTCGACATTAGTCAATTAATTTTAGATCAATTAACTAATCAGAGAAAAAAGACTGAGGCTATGTGGGCAGCCTTATTTCCAAAAGCCAAATAATAGTGTATACATACGATGTATATTCATAGATTACCAATCTATCAAACATATAGACAGTGACCTTTTCTATGTCAATAATTCACTTACTCATAAAAATCTTCATATACATGTGTATCTGTTATTAAAAGACTGAGACCACATGTGATCCATTGGGTTTTCAACTATCAACTAACTCAGAGGAATGTACTGGCATTGAAATGTAAATAATGTGAATAGAATTCAGTGAAGCTGATTGATAATGTTTCGAAGGGAGTAAGAACTCACAAATTCATTGTATTAGTTAAAGAATATCTGAGTTCTTATGTTCATTTACTCACACTGTTATGGAGCGAACTTTGACTCATCCTTTTCTTATCGAGAAAACATACCACCATGCAATGAAGTGAATTTATTTAACGGTACATGTTATATGAGTTTTGTTCAATAGACCTAAAAAGGGCTGTACTCAAGTTTAAAACATCTCTTAATACCTACTGAACAATAATGTTAACATAAAAAATTTAAATAAATGTGTGAACAACAGTAGACGATTAGCGAAATCCTGGATAGTATACATTCATGTGTATATGTCAATCAAATAATTAAGTTATATTTGACCGATAAATCTCTCGTTTCCTTAATTTTTTTATTTCTAAAAATGAGTTTAACTTAATAAAATTATGTCACTCATAGTGCATTCACATCATTATAAGTATTTATTATTATGTTAGGCACCCTTTTGGATAATGTATGACAAATATTCATCAATAAAGGTTGTGGATTCTATAGAAACAATCAAAAAATGGTATTGGTCATTCAACTTGTAATGGGTATTTTTAAATGAATTTTGACCAGTTTTAGTTGGCGTATATGTATCCTGTGTGAATTGTCTTGATATAGCCACTATATTACAAGTTTTATAGTCACATTTCATCTATTCTTTAAAAACTTGATCGTCATATTGTTCATGGAATCTAACTAATTGTTACTGTGTTATGTGGAAGAGATGAGCTTAAAACAGTGTGACAGCAATACAAAGTAAATTTTGTTGTATGAATTCTTTTTTGAACTAAACAGGTTATGGACTCATAAACCTAATTGATAAGGGTTTTGAGAAGTGATTAGTTATACTCTAAAATCTATCAGATATTAGACCAGATATTTAGTTAAAAAAGATTCAGCTGTTTAGTATACCAATTATAGAAATTTATTCCTCCTTGTTAATTGGGCTTAATGATGCCATTTACTTTGACAAAGCCATAAATATACATAAAAAATTCTAAATTACCAGTTTATGCCTTTTAGTTCTCTGTGCTAGGTGATTTAGACAGGAAGCTTTAGCCGACTTTCTAAACATTTTCATCAGCACAAACTGCATGGAGAAATGAGATATTTTTTGGCTTTAGTGCTGATTATAACGGTTATATTAGTGGGACGCATTTTTATTATAATAACTAATAATAAATTAATTATTAATTAATAATTATTATTAATTTTTTAAACCAACCTACCGCACCACATTTCTGTTAGCTCAGCGGTTACTGGAATGTAAGTTGATTGTATTGTTGAGTAATCTTTTACAAAAAACGAGTTTTCAGCCTTGAAGATTGCGATGAAATTTCAAGGCTTTATCTGCTATCAAAAAACCGATTTCTAGTAGTACAATGAGGCAATTAACTAGCGCTTCCTCATAGTTAATAGTCTTTCTGCATATATCTGCATTTAATGAAATCCTCATTCAAATATAGTACCCCTATTGCCTTAACAGTCGATAAAAATGTGTTTTCTAACCAAGTTCAGAAACTTTCATTGTTCAATCACAGTCAATAAGAGAAAGGAAGAAAAGAGTAGTTAGAAAATTATTTGCACAATTTTCACATTAGATTTTACAATCCATGGCCCAGTTTCAAGTGAGCATAACTTTCACTTTAAACTAACAATCAGTTAGTAAACTTATTACTAATTTAGGGTTCTGGAATGAGTGTGATTGGGCAATAAGTAAAATATGATCACATCAGTTTTCACTTATTTGACAGATTCTCTGAAATCGCTCTTAGCAATTAGCTACCAGGAGGGAGAATATTTCGAAATTGAGGTAGTTTTGTAGTTTGATTCAGAAATTAGGGTAAAACAACCATAACATTTACGATGGCTTTCGTGGAAAGTAAATAGTTGATGCATAAGGGATCGGTAAATATATTTTGATAATTTAGAATGAATTAATAACAAGAACTGGTCATTAAATATCGGAATTATTTTGTGTACTTCAAGGGAATAATGAGAAATACTTGCCAAAATGATAGAAACTATAACGTACAATACGTTCTCATAGCTAAGAATAGAGTACTAGCAATATCAGAACCGCACATAAAGTTCTAAAGACTACAGAGTTTAAAGAATTCAACATCATCTAGTGAATATAGATCAAAATACATTAATTTCAGTTCTATCGCAAAGTGAGTATTCACGAACCAATGAGATAGTTGTTGGATAGAGTAGACCCAAACAAGTAGGTCAGAAAAGCCATGTTTCAAGTCTACTTAAAATACTTCATAACTTGGAGCAACAAATTATTAAAGCATTAATCATATGTCCAGAGGTTACAACACTAGTTTATACCACACTGCATTCTGTCGAATCAACTATTGGTAACCACTTCTCAATGGTTTTAACTCTGTCATTTGAAATAGTTCCTACTGAATCGCTTCTACTGATAAAAAGTTTTGAAAGAAAACGAAATACTACCTGTTTATCATTAAATACCAGTAAGCAGTAGTTTGAAAGTTCGTTTTATATCTACAATCGATTGGTCACTGAGCAGTGATCATTGTTATGTTTGTCTAGTCCTCTAGTGCTGACTGAATTCTACTGTTCAAGTTGCATACGGCCATCAATCCGAGCGACTCGAAATCATTCATTTCTATCAAACGAAATATTATTATGAATAATGAGTAAAAGTATTCTAGTAACTTTACGATGTACCGTTAGTTAGTGGATAACATTTAACACTAATTGCCGAATTAGATCAATAATAAGAAAAAATGTGACATGAAATTACAGAATACAGCTCCAGGTATCACATACTCCGGATACTATGGGTATATTGGAAATGATATGCCACTTTGATGAGAAACTTTTTCTTATTTTATTGTAGATCATTACTACTGTCAATCACTTACCTAATTTCGGTCCACCTACAAACATTATTTACCTAACAGCAAGCAGTGTTTGCACAAAATCGAATTTGAAAATTATCAACTTGTAAAGTTACATATTTTACGTAACAAAATGATCCGCCAAATATAAATCTATATTTCTTGGTCTATTTAAAGAGCTAAAGCATAACTGATTCAGAGTAAGCTATAGAGAATACTGGTTAAAATGAATAACTGATTTTTTTTCTATGAAATTACCTTGCAAATACGATACATTATTCATATAAATAAACATTTGCAAAAACTTACGATAAAGTATAATTTATTTCTACTAATTGACCATTCATCATCATATATTTGTTCCTCAGTTAAAATATTTCTGACAGACTGGAATAAAATAAGACAGGAGGACAGCAACAACAACAACAACATAAAAACTCGTGACAAATCTATAGAACAAAAGTAACACATTACTAAATAATGAATACATGAAATGGTGAAATGGTTTTTTTATTTCAAAAAAAGACCTGTTTAAAAGATAACAGTGATATTGATGAAATCTAATTAACGTTATATCAAATTGACGGTTTGTTGATCGAGACAAACAAAAGTGATCTTCAAGTTAAATAGCCATTTGAGCTATCAGACCGCACTAAAAAAAACCTTTCTGTCATTATAATTGATATAACCTTTTCAGAAAACGTAAGCTAAATGTATTACATATAATAACATAAAATTCTATCTAGTTGCAGGAAAATGACAAAGAAAAAACTCGGGAAGAAAGTGAATGGGTTGAAAATAATTTATCCATTGGTTGGCATTTTATTTTTAATTTGAAGTTAGACACTAAAATCAACATAAAACAACATCAACAACAACCGATCGAGCATAAAGAACACCGGAACAGAAGTAAGCAATTAAACAGAATAAAAGAGTACGAAAAAGACTTGTTATTCTCATTCACACACTGAAAACGTCATTGAGGGGTTGAAAAAATATATATAATAAGATTGTCATAGAAATCAGTGATTATGAAAATGGTTTGTACAACATGGTTATGGACAAGAAATTGATAACTGAACGATGAATGTATTTGTTACAGTGAATGAATTGAATAAGCAACGATACAATTTGGCCGAATAGTGACTGCTCATGAGACTGAATTATCATATTAAGCTCTCAATTGAACTGTTATCAGAAAACAAAACCACCAGTCCGAAAAATAGATTTTTTCTTCAGTAAAATATTAAGCACATGATAAACATGATTTGAAGTCAATCGACACACAAATGACTACCAAACAATTTGTTAGGTCGCTCATATCCCAGTGGAATTAAGGCATAAATATCAAGATAAATTCTGACCCAACACAACATATATGATAAGTTAAATGTAAAATTGAAAAGTAATCCGAACAAAGAATGGATAGAAATAGTGAATTAAAAATAACCTTAAGCAGACACTTAATTATCTATATTAATTGTTACTCTGGTTGTTAGAAGGGACATTGGCCAACTCTCTTCCATGAAGGGTAACAGGTGTAAGTAAGTAGGTTAAGCAGAAAGAGACTTGGGAAATAATAATGTTGAAGTATTTATTAAACACCTGACTATGGTATGTTTTTTAATAAATGATCTTGTTAGTATTGGCAACTAAAGTAAAGTTTCAAAAACAGTTGTCAACAACCTACATGATCAAATATTACTAGGTGATCCTTTATCATTTCGACCTTGTCGAAAATGCAGTAGTTTGAGTACTTCACTTTAAATCGATATTCAAACTGTGAGGAGCAAGATTGACATAGTGGCGGTGGTATTACAATTAGGTCAGGTCACACACAACAAGTACAAACGAACAACCAAACAAATAATCAACACCATTAACTAGATCGACTTAAATAAATACTGCTATTTGAAAACTATGCTCATTTGGCATCATTCAGTTTGTCCAGACTACGCTCATGATCATAACATAATATTTGTGCATTTATCATTCAGTTATATTTACGAATTATGTCAACTGAACAAACACATTTTTCAATTTGTGTCATTCCATCTAAAAAGCTTGTATTGTTTGACCTGTTTTCTCATCACATCCATACAATCTTATCACAGTTATGAATTTCACAAATATGTGAATAATAAAACTGCAGTTTTACCGTTATCACCTTATTTACATTTATTTTATTATTGTGAATAATATACATGAAAAATAAGTCGAATGATTACAAATGACTAATTTGAAAATAGATCATTTTCTGGTGATTTGTTTTTGTGATCTAACTGTGTTTGGTGGTGTTACGTAGCTACCATGAAAGAATGAGAATATGGTTTTCGAGACTTTAAAGCAGTTTCATGCACTCTAAAAAAGTGACATGCAATGAAAGTAGCTGACAACTACTGACTTTGTTGATCACTTCTAGTGAGTTAACAATCGTGAATGTGTGTTGAAAACGATGGATTTCTATGTAATACAAGTGAGAATTTGAGATTAACTTTGTTACATCAGATTACTGCCGATTTCGCTTCTCAAAAGTGATACAATTTATCAAAAACAAACCTAACAGAAACCCGAGAAATATCTGTTTAATCTTTTACAGTAATAATATTTAAAATCGTAGTTATTTACTTTGTGTGCAGTCAGAAGGATTTCCATGATATATCCAAGATACTTGGTAAACAATTACCAGTTATCAGAAGGAGTTACGTGGAGATTGTAGTAATTCCAATAGTTGAGGTCATCAGTCAATTGAAGTTAGATCACCATGGAAAACCTGGAAGCACTGGAAGGGCCGTTTCGTCCTATTGTGGGAATCCTCAGCAGTGTTCATCCACAACTCCGCCTCGTGGGATTCGAACCCAGGACCTGTCATTCTCGCGCGCTTGCTCTTAAACCCTAGACCACTGAGTCGGCATCCAATGAAACTGAACGACACATCCACTAATGTCGTCAGTGAGTTACTATCTCACAACTGACCCGGTTGAACTCAACTGGTCACTGCTTCTATTAGTTAATCGATCATTTCAGATATCCGAGAAGAAAATGTTTTGTGACCGTAACAACATGAATCTGTAACTACATATTTCCTGAAGCTGAAAGTTTAAAACTTTCACATACGTAAAGACTACCAATTATTCTATATTTTTTCACTAAATATTCAAAAGAACCACATCTTATGATTTCACACGGTAGTATTCACTTATACGATTGACTTATATAAACGTTCTATAAACAGTGTTATTTTAAATGGAAGTTGGTGCATTCCCATTCTAGAATTCTTTATTGTAAATTTACTGTTGAGATGAATTACTGGAGAATGTTTTCAGTGTTTTAAGAATGATAGCTATACTAAACTAGTGATTTATATCAGAACTTGGTATAGTTAATAAATGTATTTTGTAAGAGCTCTGAAAGGATATTACCGGAAAAAATATGTACTTCTCACCACTCCTGTTCAACTGGAACATCAAAAAAGCCTGAATAGCGACATCCTGAGTTGTCTATATCCGGGCTTTACCATTTAACATTGATGAAAATTACGTTATTCAACGAAATTGTTTATGACAACCAATTACAGCCAAATGTTTGATTTTGTAATTTTGTTCTAAGTACTTTATTAATTCCGTAGTTGACATTCAAAAATGAATAGATTATTTTCTGTTGATTTATTGGTCTTTCAAAAAAGTGGTTAGATAGTAACAGGGTCTCTAGTAATAAAATATAGGATATATCGTACTGCTAAGTTGAACTGAACATCTGATAGAGCTTTCATCTATCATGAAACATATAATTGTTTCGGTATAATATTCGGTCTCCACAAATGGTGAGACTTCAAAGTTTCTATACGACCAAAAACGTATCATTTAGGACTGTTGGTTACTAAAACTATCAGAAATACAGAAACAAATTCTGGAGACAGGTTTCTTCCATAGCACCTGTCCCAAGCCGTATTTTTGCTTCTGTGCCGGGGAATATTAACATTAGAGATGCTAGTTTCCCGACAAGTTTTGTAATTTTTACTTAAAATCACAACTAAATAGTATTCAACGACAAACGATCATCAGTTTCATTTTATCGCTAAGAATTTCGTAACCGTGTCTGGTTTCTTAAACAGCTGATCGAACAAAGCAGACAGTCATACTTCTGTCGTTAACTAGTCGCACAAAAACAAATAATGGGATTTGGCAACTTCCCACATCTTTCTAAGAACCACCACCTTGTTCACTATCCTAATAGGTAACTTTGTACTACAGTACAAGTATATAACTAGTATCCAAACGCCGGTACGTTCGCTTTATGAATAAGAAAAACCAAAACGTGGACAAAACTAAGGTATGTGAGAGTCAGTCAATGCGATGATGTTCTATATCTGAATGAATCGAAATGTATGTGACATATTCAACTTAAGGAAATTTGTTATAACAGAGGTACACAAATCACGCGCCAGAAAAAAAACGTGAAGGCTTGGACTAAACTCGAAGACCTATTTGACTAAAAAAAACGTTGTTAAGGCAAAAGCTCCCACGAAACCGACTGCCATCCTGGAGCTCAGTGAAATGTAAAGAAAGAAACCAACTGAAGATACCAGCTCCTGCATTTTTGCATGAAATCTAAAACTTAGTTTTAGATAGCTTGTACCTTGTTAAGGGCTGTGTGAGAACTGAGTAAAATCTATCAATATTTAGTCCCCAATACGCTTAAAATTAATGAACACCTAAACACCCAAGAATAGAAATGGATTAGAGCTATCCATGAAATGACAGTGAGAGTTGCATGCTTCCTCAGGAAAAAATAGAAAGTAGATTGAATTGAAATGTACATAACATTTAAGCATAATCTATGGATTTATCTAAGTAACTTAATAGTTCATAAAATTTCGAATTTAAAGAACTATCTACAAAATTATTCAACTTTATGGCTACCAGAAATTCTCCCACTAACCATAAAACTTAACTATCACTCCTAACCTCAGCCTTTTTTTACGACAACTGATTTAACATATAAAGGCCGATTGTTCGAGTCAAAACTGTTTATCCATTGTAATGGTATTGCTTTCTTCTTTTTGTTTGTTTTATAACTAAAAACTATTTTTCGATTAACCAACAAGTGGTCCAAGGTCGTTGATATAGTTTCATTCTACCGAAGAAATCAAGTTGGTTCATGAAATCCAATTAACTTCAAGACTTTCTATTAACTGTTTAATTATATTAGCTGTAGTAAATTATGGTACAGAAATTTGGCTGACAATTCTATTTTAATTCTGAGGAAGAAGTGATTCTTAACGGGGATCTCGCTAACTTCTTTTATGTAGATTCATAATCTTACCGACTGAATTTCTTAGTCTAGAACTCTACGTGTGATATTCACACCACTCACTCAGTGGTTCTACCATACTCAAACAGTAATTTTAAAATACACATTCTTGGGTACCTGTAATTTCCGAAGATTTCCAGTAGACTATATATTAGTATAGAATGTATGTACATACAATTCTTCTGAAAGGTGTTCAATTATTACCGCCGATAGCTAAAATGATGATAGTTGATAATTACCAACCAAACTATAGACATCCACACCACAATTTTGCAAGTCTATTAAGTGTATTGGAACTTCTGAAGTATGTTAATTGACTAATCAACTTCACCTCTTTACTATCTACTTGATTACTTAAATAAGGATTGAATATCGGCTTTAGAGCATCATTTTAATTCTACTGGATGAAAAAACATTCCCTTTATGATTTTATGCTCTTGACGCTAAAACGACAAAGTATATTATAAGAATGAACCTAAACAAGTACATAAATTTGTGTGTATATCGATTCATTATTGAACTGACTTAGGTAAAAAAAAAAGTCCTTACCGTATGTCAAAATCAAATAATAAATTATCTTAAAATGTAGTTAGTTTATTCTGAAATTATTATGGGCTAGCAGCACAACTGGACTCCTTAATTCATTTATCTTATTGTCAATGAAAAACCAATCAATATGAAAATGGTTATGGCATTAAATAATATAAGCTAACACCGCTTCTACAATTATCACTGAATGTTTAAAAATTGTACACTCACCTCCTCCATTGGAATTTCTTCTAAAGGCATGTTAGCATCCACATTAGGCGAACATAATCCATTGGAATCATCCACCTTTCTGGGAAAAACTGTACGTATCAAACACGCCATACTATGTACACAAAGTTAGAACACATACAAATCACAAGCCTAATATTTGAATTGTGAATACCAATAGCGATTTTAACCAATCAACTAGAGAAAAAAAACAAATGCACAGGCACGAGTATACATGCAAATCAACAAACCCTAATTGGAAAAGCTTATTCAAATTTATAGGAATTAGATAATTAACCAATCAGTGCTTGATCTTAACAAAAGGTTTGATTTTAACGAATAAATTTTTGGTCGGATATGAGTTTCACTAGCCTTAGTCGTATACGTAAACATCTGTCTTTCTCACAATGTGAAGAGTTGCACTTTAGAATTGTGTAATTGTCCAGACTTTTCAAAAACTGGAATTCGTTAGTTTTCTGAAATCGACAAAATTCTGGTGCAAAATATTTTATCTACCCTATACTGTGTTTTGTCATTGTTTTAGAAAAATAATCAATTTCATCTTAGTTATTATGGAAGCTTATGAGGGTTATGTTCACTTGTTTTATGCTTGAGAAATTTCTTAAAATGACCATAAGTATACTGAATCATCTATTGACTTAAGCAACAAGACGCGTGATGAATTATTTTCCTTAGACTTTATGATGTCTGAATGCGTAAGTCACACCCAGTTAATTCACAGAACATTTCTCTTGATATAATGTATGTTAATTAAAGCTTTAAAAAGTTTGAACGGCAATTACGATACACGAAAGGATATATAACGACACACATATTCTGAGAAAATCAAACGATACGATTATAGCATTCTTAAGATGTTTATGTACATTGATAAATCAAAGATAAGTAGATTATATTGGGTCTTACCATTAAAAGAGTTCCACTGACTCCTCGTCAAGTAATAAGACAGTTATTGTCAGTGCTGCTCATTAATATGGTGAAATAATCTCATAATATAAAAAAGGAGATAAAATAAGCTGTGACAGGAGAGGAAAATAGCTTTACTCCCCAATAATGTAGTCAGCTATTCGTTAGAGGTTAATTACCATTGTTAAGACTTCTGACTTTACACCCTAGGCGTTAATTTGAACTCGAATTCACAAAGAAGTGTTTGTAGAGGTGATCTTGATCAGTTTCAAATCAATTACTTACTTATTAGTTTAGTCGAGCATTTTAAGTTAAAAATAAAAGACTGATAAAACTGAATGAAGTTATTAACCATATAATTTAAAACAAAGCAACAAAGACACATAAAAGCCAATCAGATTATTTATCGCCAATTAGCAACATAATGATGAACTTGAATAAATGAACTGTTATTCAATAACGAGTTGGTTGGTTGGACTATAAAAGAGGTTAAGAATTAGATTTTTGAAACAGGCTTTTCATAGTTCCTTTGGCTGATTGTTATAAAATATTTCATATATTATTGTCACGTAATATAACAAAAGCCTAGGAAACTTGGAAAGAAAAAAACATCGGAGTTAAACTCACTAGATTGTGATCATAATTGCTTAGAGAACAAGGGTCAGGATGTTTAGTCCCTTGCTGTTAGGAAGTCAATCGAAAGTTAACTACGGAGTCTTTTTTAATGCAAAGGTCAGGTTTAAGCCTTTTAATTACTATGGCTCCCATGAATCTTAATACTTTAGTGTTGAATTGTTCACTGATCATCTCAATCTACTCATTCCATCTACATTGTACCCTCTGTTTAGTAGTTGTAGTCTTACCTGGCCGTTTTGGCCATCTAAGGTGTAGGTTCTTGGGAATATATTCAATAAAGCGGGGCGAAACCCAAATTGCTGTCCTTTTATTGTAGTGAATGGAATCAGTTGCATGAAATATATTTCTGAACTGCATCTGGTCTATCAGCTTTATAAAAGTCAGAAAGTATCTTACAGTCTGCCTAATACTGATAAACCGAAATCGTATACAAAGTTGTATTTCAATGAACAACGACGATCAACAAAACTCAGTACCAAAAATGCAACCAATTAAATTCCATTCTAGTCGCCCACTCATCTGACTCATATTGAACTTGCTGCGACTTGTCTTAACTTCATAATCGATTAATAAACATTGTAAATATTTTGTTACGTATAACTTATTCATTTGTTGTTGCCTTGCTGTTTTTGTTCGATGTATTTGTGTTTAATTCATCTCCCTTTCTTGTATTAATTAAATAAGAATTCTTGTTCTTTGATAGACAGATAAAATATGGAACTTGAAGTTTTATTTATTTCAAATATGCTAGGTTGAAAATGTGTTTTTCTTATATATCAAAATTCAGCTTTCACTATTTGTAAATTTCAGCTTTGTGATATGAAGATTAGTTCTCAATTACATATGATCAAGAATGGACATCATCCTAAGCAAGTTTAAACAGTAATTATATTAAAAGTATCAAGACTGAAAACCGGTTTCCTAAGATGGACATTACCTAAATACAGTTCATTCGTATTAGGACATAAAGGAAATTGTACGTTATCTCATCTATAGACTTATTTAATTCTGTGCATTATGATACTTCACGAGAAAAATATTTACGTGGCAAAAAGAGTATTCTCAACTAGACAAAATAAACTTATCATTACACTATAAACATAAAGAGTGTTGAAAAAACTAACATTCTGATTTACTGAACAGTATTCAAGTTCGAAATTCCTAAACCCACTTGCGAAATACAGAGGTATCACACTACTATCATTTCCAGAAAGTTCTAGACAGAATGTTGTTGAACCAAATGAAAAGTTCATCAGACACCTAACTTCGAGAACAATGGGCTGGACTTCTTACAGAGTGATCATGTGCCGACGAAATTGAGAAACTACGGATCATTGTTGAGTAATCAATTAAGTGAAATTTTCCATCATACATCAACTTCCTTGTTTATGAGAAAACATTCAACAGTTTGAATAGGAGAACCTTATGGAAGCTTCTTCGTTTGTAGAGGAGAGCTTAGGACAATCGGTTGGAGACTGCTGTTCGGCGGTCAATGTTTCACGAGGGTTAACAGGCATATGTAAGTAATTAAGTTTACTTTTGTGTCAGATACTTGTGACTTTTGACTTACAAGTTTAAAAATCTGATCCATTAAATAGACTTGAGTGTTAAGCTAGGAATCATGTTAATCAAGTTAATAGTCATAAGTCTACTTGGTTAATCTAAGTTATTTACTGGTAACACTAAGTGTACCTGTGTTGTCAAATACACATAAAGTTTCTAGGGATATTCGTACTAAAATGTCGTTATCCAAGATCTTTCTATCCTAATACCATCTTTGATTCAGATCAATTCAGTTAATCCTTGTCGACTGCAAAACACAAGCTAGAATCATACCTTCTGATTTGAAATTTTAATATAAATTGGCATAATTATAAATATAGTTAAAAAATGCAGATTCATATATATATATATATATATAACTCCACTGTAACGCTTCTAGGATTACTACCGGTCCTGAGCCAAGATAGAGGGTTGAAAATGGGGTCAGCAACAGTTCAAAGAAAACGACCTTGCTAAAAAGCTGGTAACCAGAAAAATTCATTTAAACCATTTACACTCTACTCTGAGAGCTGAAGAGTTATGACGTCTCTCTGTGGAAGCTAAGATTATTCGAAAGTCATGAGGTCGATGGGGATTCTGATAACCAGAGCAATAATCAATATAGGTATATAGAATGTCCGAACAATATGAGAGACGAGAAGACTAAACAAGTAGCTACGGAAATGAGGAGATACAAACAAGCGGTTCTCGGATCAAGTGAGACTCATCGGATCTAAGCTAGACAGAGAAGGTTAACTTCAGGAGAGATGCTGTTATACTCTGGCCATAAAAAAGGAAATTTATTCCGCACACAGAAGGATTTATACTGATGCTGTCTAAAGAAACATGAAAAGCTTTTACAGGATGGGAATCCACTGTTTTTACGTCTGCAATGATAGTCTAGCTTCGATCGACTCATGAATTTAACTGTCAACATTTATTTGGTGCTATGCAACCCCAAACGATAGCAACGGCGACGAAAAAGATCAATATTATGAAAGGCTGTTGACGATTGTAGAGAAGTGCCATGGAAAGATCCTGACCATCATGATGGAAGACCTAAACCTCATGGTCGGAATCGACAATACTGGGTATGAAGATACTACGTGACGACATGGACTAACAGGGAAAAAGGAAAGAGAATGGTGACAGATTTGCAGATCAGTGTGCCTTCAACAAAATGGTTACAGGTGACTTCACTTTACACACAAACACATACACGAAGCTACATGGGTCTCACTGAACCACATTGCAGTGAACCAAATCGATCACATTTGCATCAAAAAAAGTTCAAAAGATCGATGGATCGATATATATATATATATATATATATATAAAATACTCACTTATTTGACCTGTCACCCACGATTATTGACACTCCTTATTCAAAAACAGATCGTGTCAAGCTGTTAATAGTAAGTTTAGACTGATTTTCTCCCTATACTTTTAGACATCTTGGTTACTATAACGGGTGCTTAAATACAGAATTATGACTACCCACTCATATTTCTTGATTTAGAGTAACAGGTCCTAAACTTCAATAAAATAATAACGGATCTCTAAATAAAATACATAAAATGAAGTGTCAGAATCGTTTCAATTAAATCAATTCTTTAATGAATACCTAATACTGACCTCAAAGTTGTACATGTTCAGCTTAGTCTATGTATCCTCATAGTTATTAGGAATACCATTTTATTAAATTCACTTTAGTATTGATTTATTGGATTTGAAACATTCATAGTGAATTATTTGCTGTAATTGCGATAATTGGGACATACTTTCTCTGTGTTGAACTTTATAAAAATAATTAAATAATCGATAAAAGTTATTTCATAAGTCATAGAATATAATTCGTTTTTATGCTAAATGACATACCACTTTCGTTTACTGTAACTATCACTAAAAGCTTTCCTTTTATTGGTAAGAATCCCTGAACATGATTCGTGGTTCTTTCTAGGTGACTCAAGCGCAGTGTGAAATTTAAAAGACATCAGCTATACAATC